AGTAAGTAACTAGTTTGACATATTTACCTAAGCTGTAAGCTGATCAAGGACTTGGTCTTGAGATGACAAGACTCAGTCTTCTAAGCACTAGATTCTGATCTTGCATCAAAACTTTATTTGGAGACAGAGTCCTGACACTTAACCACCGCTTTTTGGAGACTACTCAAGAACTGAACCAGGTAGGTGATTGTTATATCTAGTACTTAAAGGTGGCTGGAGAAATAAGAATTGATCAAAGAACATCTCTGGGCTGCTGCAACAGACATCAAGCACCATTACCCACAGTTTGAGTATTCTGTTCACAAGAATAGAAAATCTCTTACTCCCTAAATACACACACACATTTCTTCAGAAATAATTCTGATAAATTCTAATAAACTTGGCGATTTGGTCATCCAGTCCATAACAAATTGGAAATACGTTGACAATCAAGAAGGGAGCTGACAAAGGAGACAATATGAAAGCCAAGTAACTCAGCAGACATTTCATTATAGACCAAATAATCCTGTGAGACCAAATAAACAGTTCATTAATCCTGAAGCTATTATAGCCTGAGTTTATAGAAAAGACCTCAAGTCATTAGACCAAGAAATGGTCTAAATGTGCTAGTGTGTATAGGTTTAATGATGTGTGTCCTGATTGAGCTCAGTGATTTCTTGTCTGGTTTTCTACAGGTACCACATCTTTTTCCTTATCACTTTGGAAACAACCTTGTGGACAGTGGAGACAAAAAGCATTACTGGCCATAATGCAAAATTCCTTGAGGGTAGAAGTTGTCTTCTCTGCCATGAAATAACAAATTTCTAGCTGTTACTCAAATATCTTCTGCACAGCCCTGACCAGTGGCTCAGTTGGTTAGAGCATTGTCCCAATATGCCAAGATTGAGAGTTTGATACCCCTCAACCAATGAATGCATGAATAGGTAGAAAAACAAATCGATGTTTCTCTCTCTCATAAATAAATAAATAATCTTCTGCACAAAAGAAAAATAATCTTCTGCAGGACATCAGTTGGGAGAAAGCTGCCATGGAGACTTTCATTATTTTATTAAACATCTCAGAGCTGACTCAATTTCTGAGTAAAAACTTTAAATTTTAGAAGAATGTATGTGCTAAATTTAAAATGTATTTTATGCTACCTGCTGCCTCTTCCAGGCCTTGTGGAGCCAGAATCACAAATCTGGAATAGTATGACCACATTTGGTAATCTCCTCACCTGTGCTGATGAGATCAGGGGCAATTCTGGTAGCTTCTTAATCATGGAGATACAGATATTGGGAAATGGTTAGAGAACAGAAGGAGGCAGATACTGGCAAAGTTTGCAAAAGGAGAAAAGGACTGATTTCAGAAATGTTCCACTAACCTGTTTGACCTCATTCCCCAGCAGAATATTAGAATGGGTCATTATATTGTTTGTGAAGATATGGAAAAGAATTTGATGATTGCCAGGACGCTGATGTGTTTGGCCAAAAATTATGCCAAATTACGATCCCTTCACTTATTTCAAAGCTTTATAAAATTTACATGTTAGATCAATGAGACAGGCATGGTGTGTTGATTTCAGCAAAGTGTATGTCTGTCCCTCATAGTATTTATAGTTAAAATGGAGAAAATTGGTTGGATTATAGATGATATGTTTGAAGGTGGTAGTTAATAACCATAAACCAAGAATCTATGTTGTATAATTAGTTTTGTTTTTTAGAGAGAGAATGAGAAGAGAGAGAAACATCAATTTGTTGTTCCACTTATTTATGCATTCATTAGTTGATTCTTGCCAGCCCAGGGCCATAATTAGATAGTTCAATGTAGAATTTAAGGATATAGACTTTGGAAACAGATTGGGTGGGTTCAGATCCTGGTCTTCCACTTAACTAAGCACATGAACTTGAGCAATTCACGTAACCTTTCTGTATCCTTTTTCCTCAGTTGTAAAATAAGGGTTATGATGATGGTAACAGTATCAAACTCAGATGGCTGTGAGGATTAAATGAGTGCCTGACACACGCACTAAGCATTATATATGATTTATTACAGATGAATGGAAGTAATAGGTTGACAGATTTCAAATTATTTTAATTAGGAAGGATTTTCTAATAATTACAAATGAAGAACAGGATATCCCTAAAGCTGGTGCTCTCCCTAGCTGTTGGTTGCTAGGCAAAATCTTGAATGACCATTTTTCACTTGGTTAGTCATATGACCAAACCTTACTGATGAGGAAGCCTGGGAAATAACTCTTTTCCTAAGGAAGAAGGTAGGACACTGGGGGTACCCAGCAGTCTCTGCACAGGCTTAAGCAAAATCTTGAATGACCATCTTTGTCAGAGATCTTTCAGAATTCCTATATTACAACAGAGTTTAACTTAGGTGATCTAGAATTCCTGATTGTTAATTCATAATATAATTACTAGGTTCTCCAAGTAGATATATTTGGGGGAACACCCATAGGTGTATCCGCAGAATTTGTAAACATGAAGGGGGATAGTTGTTAAGAGGAAATAAATGAGAAACAATCTGTATTACTCCAGTTGGCACTATTTTATGATTTTGTTTTTGGTCCTTCTCTAGTTGCCTTGGGTCCCAGGAAGAATTCCTGTATTGAGGGGGGAGGATAATAATTTTCAAACTATTCTGCTACTAATGCTGCACTGACCAACAAGAATGTAGGACTGGGACAGAGTCCTGGATTTCCTCTGCTATGCTGGACAGCAAGGCCTTCAGTTGTTGAATAGAGAGTAAGACTGGGAGGTCCTGAGTAAAAGACAGAGGCAGGAGAGGGAAGCAGATTTGGGACAATGGCTACTTCCAAGCAAGTATGGAAGTATTTTAATATTTTAATAATTGAGTTATAAATCAACCCTGCTTTTTCCTGAATTGAAAGGACTATCCTTTTCCCACTGAATAATCTTGGCATCTTGGCCAAAAATTGACCATAATTTTAGGAGTTTGTTTCTGGACTCTCAATTTCCATTCCATTGATTCTATATGCCTATCCTCATGACAATACTACACTGTCCTGATTACTGTAGCTTTGTGGTCAGTTTTGAAATCAGGTAGTATAATCACTCCAGTTTAGTTCTGTAATCATCTTAACTATTCTAGGTCCTTTGTATACATTTCAAGATCAGCCTGTCTGTTTCTACCAAAAAAAAGAGGGCTGGTATTTTGTTACAGATTGCATTGAATCTAATCAATTTGAAAACTGCTATCTTAATAATATTGAGTCTAACAATCCATGAGCATGGAGAGTCCACTCATTTTATTTTTATCCTTACCCGAGGGCATTTTTGTTTTCAGAGAGAGGAAGGGAAAGAGAGAAACTTCCGTGGGAGAGAGAAGCAGCAGCCTGTTGCCTCCTATAACACGCCCAGGCTGGAGATACTAAGAGTCTGGACCAGGGGTCGCTTGCACACAGTGCCAGGACCAGGAATCAAACTTGCAGCCTAGGTATGTGTCCTGACTGGGAATTGAACCTGCAACCTTTTGGTTACTGGAGGATGCTTCAACCAACTGAGCCACACTGGTCAAGGTTCTCCACCTATTTAGGTCTTCATTTCTCTCAGCATATTTTGTAGTTTTTAGTGAATAATCTTGGACTTGTTTTATTAAAGTTTTTCCTAAGTATTTTACTTTTTGATGCTCTTGTGAATGCAATTGCTTTCTTAATTCATTTTTGTTATTCTATAGAGAAATATAGTTGATTTTTGTATACTGATCTTGCATCCTACAACCTTGCTAAACATGTAGGTTCTAGTATAGAGAGAAATACCAATTTTTTGTTCCACTTATTTTATGTATGCATTCATTGGTTGATTTTTATTTTTAATCCTCATTGGGAGGAACCTGTAACCTAGGCATGTGCCCTGACCAGGAATTGAACCCACAAACTTCCTGCTTATAAGATGAAGCTTCAACCAACTGAACCACACCAGCCAGGGCTGGTTGATTCCTATATATGCCCTGACTAAGATCAAACCTGCAACCTTGTTGTATCAGGACTAAGCTCTAACCAGCTGAACTACCCAACCAAGGTGCTATATGCTTTTGTAAAGAGGATCATCTTGTATGCAAATAAAGGCAGTTGTTTTTTCTTCCAATCTGTTTGCCTTTTGTTTATTAGCCTCTTGCACTAGCTACACCCTCCATTATAATGTTGAGTAGAGATGGTAGGAAGAGCCTGTGTCCTTGCCTCGTTTTTGATCTTAAATTGAAAAGTATTAAGTCTCACAAATAAGTATGATATAAGCTATACGTTTCCCTTAGATACCTTTTATCATACGCTTCTGTTAAAATAAGATGCCTTGGTCTCATCCGACGACTTAAGAATTGGATCTCGAGTTGTAGCCTAGGCAAATCTGTATTCTAGGAAGCAGCCCAGATGACAGACTTGGTGTCTGAGGACCTACACCACCCACCAAGGGCCGTTTTTAGAGGCCGGGAGAGGAGCTCCTAATGACCCTCCTGGGACAATCTCTAAAGAAAGGATCTCAAGAGCCCTACAGTTGGATGCAGGAAGCAACAAAATAGCCCAATTATAACAATGGGTAGAGGGGCCCTCAAAGAATGACAAATCTTTTCTCATGTATTGACCAAAGCTGTAAACAGCAATCCAGCGTTTTGGCCCTTTAAGAGTCTAAATGGGTCAAAGAGACAAACTGGAGCAGTTAAATTGTCTAGGTCATTATGCCCAGGATTAAAATCTCCAGGGCCTGAGTATGAAATTAGTAGTATTCAACCTAATGGGTTATTATAATAATCATGCGGCCTAGCCACGCTACCACAAAGTGACACTGCTTCTACGCGGAAATAATTTCACGTCCTTAACAAATGAATTACAAAACCAATTTTCCCTGTTAACCTCAACCCTGGTAACCAATCCAACAAACGAGGGATGGAAAGAATGTAGCGAACTCTACTGATTGACGTACATTCTAACCAACCTACAATGGAAGGAGAGTACGCCTGCGCTAGTTGTTATCCAATCAGCACCCAGCGGCGCAGGCGGGGCTTGTGGAAACGGCCGCCACAGGGTTGGCGGACTTGTGAAGGAGCAAAGATGGCGGAGTGAGGCGCTCCGCTGCGATCCGGCCTTGGGCCGGTGGGTAGGCCGGTCACCGGGCGATCCATTGCTTCTGCTGGCTCGTGCGAGGTAAGCCGAGAAGGCCAGCGACGAGAGGACAAACAGGAAGTGGCGCCGCCCAGCTCCGTGGTGGAGCCTGCCTGCAGCCACGGGCATCGGCCGGGCGTGGGTTTCCTCCCGAGCTGCCCCAGGGCGGCCGCACCCGGCTTCTGAGGTGTGTGTCATCACCACTCAGTCCTCGATGTGCCACTGACTGACCTTCTCAGTACCATGTCTTTGGCTGCGGGCTGGTTCCTTGGTGGTTGTGCCCACGCGGGTATCTGGCAGCTTCTACGTCGGTCGTAGGTTTATGTTTTGAAGAATATCTTTATTTATACTCCTCGCCTCACGACTTCGTGGTCACTGTTTTGCCCGAGGCTCCGGTATCAATCCAGGCCTGTTGTTGTTAGGAGCATTTTGTGTCCCTGGTCCGTTGACCTTGAGATTTTGTCTAACCGGTAGCCCTTAGGATTTTTTTTTGTTGTTCTGAAATCCGGGACCCTTAGGATTTATAATTTGAGTCTGTGTATGGTACATGCCCACTTGCAACCTTTCTTTCCCATCCCACCTCAAAACTTTAAAGAGCTCAGTAAGCAGCTTTGTCCTTGTATGACCTGATAATTCCCTAAAGGACATTAATCTCGACTTTCTCTAGGTCTTGGTAGAATTCTCCGTTGTTGTTTTCCAGAACTAGAGTCAGTATGCTAGTTTTATCTCTTTGCAGAGAGAATTGAATTTGGGAATTATTAGAACATAAGTTGTGTAATGTGGTGGGGTTGCAAAGTATAATACTATCAGGCATTTGTATTCAGTTTTTGTTTAACATTATGGGGTATCTTTTTTGTAATTTGGGTTGTTATAATCCCTCAGTCGATCTTTCGATTAAATTCTGGGAAAGGTTCCTGTTATTAGGTTTCTGAATTGTAGGTTTCTGAATTGGCAAAGCCTGTTTAAAATGGCATGTAGGTTGGGTCCAGTTCAAATGACATGTCATAATATAAATGAATGTTTCTGGTATGCTCTTTGCTGGCCCTGGATTGAGCAGACCTGAAAATATCAGGTAAAGGATATCTTTCTGTTGCTTTTTGCAGGAGTAGGGTTTTTTTTTTTTTTCCATTTCATTTAGAAGGAAGAAGATATGGGGTAGAGGAAAGAAAGAACATTCTTCCTCCCTACCTGACAGAGGGAAGTGGTCATCAATACTGGAGCAACTCTTTTGTGGGGAGAAGAGTCCGTAGCATCATCACCAAATGGGATGGTGTTCCATAAAAACTTGAGAACCACTGTTCTAAGACTTTTGACATCTTTATAAAATTAATGCCAGTGCAGGTAGACAGTAACTTCTTTCCGATTGTTCCTTCTAAATAGTTTTTGATAGTGATGTTTTTTAGAAAAGCTTGATTTATTTGAATAATTTTGTACAAGAATGCATATAGCACCAGTGAGGGCTGTATCCTTACTGTAATGTTCTTTTTATTTTTTCCTTATCGCAGGAAGAACATTTTCCTTGACTTTTAGGTGCTTTTTTATTCATCTGGAAAAGAAAAAATTCTGAACTCAGGATTTGGCAAGTGAGTAATAGTGGCTAATGCTTCTAAATACTGTTTAAGCAGCTTGAAAATAGCTACATAGAGGAGAACCAATAAACCATTAGCTTCAACAGAAGATGAACATCAAAAGTAACTATAAATAATTGATATGTAAGCTTAATCTTTTATTTTCAGCAATAGCAATGTATTAAGTATAAAAAAGAGAAGACAGACTTAATCATTTGCCCAAACCAATAATTTGTATTGGGTAAAGAAAAAATTTAGTTAGATTGAGAGTTCAGCCGATAAAATATAAATGTTATTAGGCAAATTTTAGAATATATTTACTTAAGTTTTAATTATAAATATTGTTGTTTTAGTATTTGATTTCTAAAGCTTTTCAGTATTCTCTTAATATTCCTAAATATGAATCTGTTCTGTGTCTCGTGTTGGTATTTTCGGAATTTACCACAGAAGTAAAGTAGGTTTTGTTGCATAAAAAGCAAGCAGCGTGACATGTGCTCTCAACTGACAATACTGTATTTATAAAATAGGGTTCATACCAACTGTATTAACTTCTTAGTGCTGTCATAAGGAAGTACGGCAATGACTTAGAGAAACAGAAACATCTCATGGTTTTGGAGATCAGATGTCGAAAAATGAAGGTTTTGGCAGGTCTGTGTTCCTTCTGAAGGCACTAGGGAAGGATCTGTCCCAGCCTTTTAGCTTTTGCTAGTTCTTGGCTTGTGGAAGTATAACTCTAGTCTTCACATAATATTTTCCCTGTGTGTGTGTCTGTGTCCTAAATTCTCCCCCTCCCACTGCCTTTTTTAAAATCGTCACCTCAGGATACTTTTATTGATTTTAGGGAGAGAGAAACATCGAACAGTTGCCTGTTGTGCACACATCAGCCAGGGATCGAACCTGAAACCTTTTGGTATACGCGATGACTCCAGCCACCTGAGCAACCCATCCAGGGCCAAAATTCTTCCTTTTATAGGGACACCTGTCAGATTAGAATAGGAGCCCACCCTGCTCCAATCTCACCTCATCTTAACTAATTACATCTGCAATTGCTATTTCCAAATGAGGTCACATTTTGAGGTACTGGGGCCTAGGTCTTCAATACGAATTTGCGGCGGACACAATTAAATGCATAAAATCTACTTAGCTATATACCTGGATTGTATGTGAAAATTATTCAATGTACAGCTGTTTTAAGGATTAAAATCTTATATACCACTTACATAAGGTACTTAGAGTATTCAAAATTATAGAGACAAAGTAAAATAGTGGTTGCCAGGGGTTACAGGGAGGTAAAATGGGAAGTTATTTAATAGGTACAGAGTTTCAGTTTTTCAAGGTGAAAAGGTTCTGAAGATGGATGGTGATGATGATTGCACAACAATATGAATGCACTTAATACAACTGACCTGAACAGTTAAAAAGGGTTAGGATGATAAATTTTTTTAAAGATTTATTTATTTTTAGAGAGAGGGGAAGAAAGGGAGAGAAACATGTACAGGTTGCTTCTCCCATGTCGCCAGCCAGGACCTGGCCCACAACCCAGTCATGTGCCCTGACCAGGAATTGAACTGGTAACCCTTGGTCCGCAGGACAGTGCCCAGCCCACTGAGCCACACAGTCAGGCCTAAAATTATAAATTTTTTTAAAAAAAATGTAATTGACTTTAGAGAGAGGGGGGCAGGGAAAGAGAGAGGGAAGCATCGATTTGTTGTTCCACTTATTTTTGTATTTATTGGTTGATTCTTGTATGTGCCCTCACTGGGGATCGAACTCACAACCTTGATGTATAGGGATGACACTCTAACTAAATGAGCTAGCTAGGGCATAACTTTTATGTTGCATGTATCGTAATTTAAAATTGTAGTTTTAAAAAATTGAAAAAAGGTAAGTAAAAAACTCCAACTATAGCCCTGGCTGGTGTGACTCGGTTGGAGCATCATCCTGTAAACCAAAAGGTCTCAGGTCTGAGTCCCATTCAGAGCACATGCCTAGGTTGCAGGTTCAGACACTGGTCAAGGCATTTAAGAGAGGCAACTGATTAATGTTTCTCTTCCTCTCTCTCCCCCCCCCACCCCCCACCAGCTCCCTATACCCTCCTCCCACCCCTCACTAAAATCAATAAGCTTGTCCTCAAGTGAGGATTAAAAAAAAAAAAAATCTCCCACTACATGCCTCAGTATTAAGAAAAGGAATAAAAACTGGGCAAAATGCCCTTTAAGTGATAGCCTTTTATCTTAGAGGAGAAGCTTTAGTGCTTGGATGTAGAACTTTAAATCCTGATTGATAGTAGTGGAAACTTGAAACCTTGACATTGGCATAGCACGACATTGCTAGCAATTTACATACCCATAGGGAAATAATGTAAATAAATGTAGATGCTTCTGTACTTATAAGGTAGCTTTAATTCTACAAATGGAATGATCTCATATACATTAAAGGGAAAAGTAAGGTGCAGAATTAAGTGTATCATGTGCTTTCATTTTAGGGAAGGAAATAAATTTACTTATACTCATTTTATATATCTAGAATAAAAGGATATGCAAGAGACACTGTATACTTTATTTTATCTTGTCCTATCATGTCCGTTTGTTACCTTTCAAGTAAATAATTTAAAATATCCAAACAAAGGAAGCACTCAATAAATATTTGATAAACGACTGAGAAGTTAAATTTTTGCTCAGACAGTAATTTCACATTTATATAGTCCATTCATATCTGGGCAGAAACAAGCCCAACACTTTTTTTTTAATTCCTCACCCAAGGATATGTTCATTGATTTTTAGAAAGAGAGGAAGGGAAAGAGAGAGAAACATCTCTTGGTTGCCTCCCCTATGTATCATCTCCACTGCGGACTGTGTATCAAACTCAACCTAGGTATGTGCACTGATCTGGAAATGAACCCACAACCTTTTGTTGTCCTGGATGAAGCTCTAATCAATGGAGCCACTTGGTCAGGTTCCCAACACTTTAATAAGACACAGAAAAAACTTAATTTGAATGACAACAGTATCCATTGTTTTGTGAAATGTGTTGTGATTTTACTACTTACATAGCAAAGTAAGAAAGGAGTATTTCACTCCCAAGTCCTTAGAAGAAGCAAAGTATTGATGTATAACAAATGACTTGAAATTTAGTGGATTAAAACAAGAGTATACTGCCCTGGCTGGTGTGGCTCTGTGGGTTGAGTGCTGGCCTGCAAACCAGAGGGTTGTGTTCAGGTCCCCAGTAGGGGGCGTGCTAGAGGCAACCACACATTGATACTTCTCTCCCATTCTATCTCCCTCTCTCTAAAAATAAATAAGAAAAATCTTTAAAAAAATTTTTTTTTAAAGTATCTTTACTCTAAGAAAAGAAAAGGCAGCATATCCCTGACTGGTGTGGCTCAGTTGGTTGGGTTCGTCCCACAAAATGAAAGTTTGCCAGTTTGATTCCCAGTCAAGGCACGTGCCTGGGTTGTGGGCCTGGTCCCTGGTTGGTGTACATGTGAGAGGCAGTCAATCGATGTTTCTCTCACACATTTATGTTTCTCTCCCTTTCTTCCTCTCTCCTTTCCCCTCTCTCTCTAAAAATGAATCTTAAAAAAGAAAAAAAACCTGGATATATGAATTATCTCTCACGGATTTATGTGGGTCAGAAATTAGGGAGCAGCTTAGCTGGGGATTTCTGGCTTGGGGACTCTTAGAAGGTTGTAGTCAAGATACTGTCTGGGTTGGCAGTCATCTGCTCTAAATCCATGGTGGCTCATTCATGTGGTTGGCAAATTCATACTGCTGATGGAAAACCTCAGTTCTTTGCAATGTTAGCTTCTTTCAGGGTTGCTCAACTATCATCATTAATATAACAGTTGCCTTCTTCCAGAACAGGCAATCCAGGACAAGGCAGAAGTCAGAGCTCCATCTATAACCTTGCCTCAGAAGTCATTCACTATCATTTCCTCTTCATTCTGTTTACTATTTTGATACCAACTACTGTACTTTTATACAGTAAGTCAAAGGGCAGGAGCACCAACAAGACTGCCCTCACATTAAATGCCAGTTTGTGTGTTGGAGGATTCTCAAGCCACCTGAACTTCTGAACAACTGGCTACAAGTTCAGGGATTTCCACGACTCTGTCAGACCAACTTATTGATCACTGATGATTTTCTCTATTTTTCTTTTTTATTTAATTCTGCTCTAATTTTTTCCTTTTCTTGCTAGCTTTCCATTTAGTTTATTCTTTTTCTAGTTAAGGTATAAAGTTAGGTTGTTGCTTTAAGCTCTTTTTTAATGTGAGCCTTTACAGCTAGCTGTAAATTTCCATCTTAGGACTACTTTTGCTGCATCCCATAAGTTTGGTGTGTTGTGTTTTTGTTTTTATTTGTCTCAAGATATTTTCTATTTTCCTTGTAATTACTTTGACCCATTGGTTGTTTCATAGTGTGTTGTTTAATTTCCACTGGCTCATTTAGTGTAAACAAGAATTTAGCGTCTCCCTACCAGGGACAAAGGGCAATTAAATTATTTATTATACAGCCCTGACTGGTGTGGCTCAGTGGATTGAACACTGTCCTGCAAACTGAAAGGTCACCAGTTCTATTCCTGGTCAGGGTACATGCTTGAGTTGCAGGCCAGGTCCCCACTTGGGGGTGTGTGAGAGGCCACTGATAGATGTTTCTCTGCACATTAGCACGTCAATACTTCCGCTCTTTCTCTTCCTCCCTCCTTTACCTCTCTCTAAAAATAAATAAACAAAATCTTTTAAGAAATTTGAAAATTCTTTATTATGTAGTAGTCACTTAGATCAATGCTGAAGTTTTGTTAGAGGGGACTATAAAAAAGTGAATACTGGGAGGCAGCAGTAACTGGGGACCATTTTGGAAGCTGACTACCACATGAAGTCATTTGACTCACATCTGACTAAAGCTAAGTACTGCATTAAAAATTCCTATTTTAACTTTCCATCCTTTCAGTGTGTCACATTTTCTAATACAAAGTTACTTCGTATAATCAACAGCACTAAGCAGAAGACTTTAGACACACAAAAGTGCCTAGTAAGCTACCACCTTTATAGGGATGTATTTGTGTTTTATAGATCAGAGTATATAGTGGTACTTTCCTCACCTAACTCTAGAATGTATGTCTATTTAAATTTTAACTCATGTTGGCTCAGTGTATTTAAGAGCTCTACAGTTCTCATTCAACAAATTTTTATTAAGTGCTTATCATGGGTCACACTCTATGCTTGGGATTCATCAGTGAACAAAATGGGTTCCTTCTTGGTGGAGCTTACATTTTAGACAAGACAGTAAATGAGAGACATAGTTAGTGCCTTATATAGAAGGTTAGATAGTATTCCATGCAGTGGGTAAAAGGAAAAGTAGAGCAGGATAAAGGGGAATGGTGGGAGTGTGTTTGTGGGTAGGATTGAGGGGACAGTAATCTTAAATAGGGACTCAAAATAGGCCTCATTGCGAAAATAGCATTGAAGTAAAGGTGAGGGAACTAACTGTACAGATGCCTGGGGAAGAGTCTTCTCACAGAGGACATCTGGTACAAAGGCTGTAAGGTCGGAGCATGCATAACACTTGAGGAAGAGCAAAGGGTCCACTGTGGTTGGAACCCGTGATGGGGGCACGGGTGGGCACAGAGTTGGGGGTCGGAAGATATGGTGGAAGCAGGGTGGTGTAGGTCGATCTCTGGTCAGAACTTTGGCTTTTATATTGAGCTACTCATTCAGTTTTCAAAAGGGTCCAATAGTTGGTGGTACATACGAGGCCTGCCAGGAAAAAGTCCAGCCATTGTTAATATAATGAGAACATGTTTGCACAAAACATGTTGATTTAACCTGACAGCCGAGGAGAGTGGACTGGAATGCTCAAACGTGAACAATGACGACTTCACTACTAGTCAGTGGGGGCAGTAGACACTGTTTAGTGAACATGTGTACTCTGTGGCTGTCGCATTCAAAGTGAGTAGAACAATGAATCTGCATCAAATTTTGTGTTAAGCTTGCACATTCCTCAGTGGAAAATATTCGGATGATTCAGAAGGCCACAGCTATAGTCAACTGGTGATTGTCAGCTTTATCACAACAACGTGCCCTTTCACACATCACATCTCCTGCAGAGGTTTTTAGCAAAACATCAAATCACCCAGGTGACTCAGCACCCTCCCTGTAGCCCAGATTTGGCACCCACTGATTTCTGGCTTCTCCCAAAACTAAAATCACCTTTGAAAAGGAAGAGATTTCAGACTGTTGATGACATTCAGGAAAATACAACGAAGCAGCTGATGGCGGTTGTATGAGGTCCCAAGGTGCCTATTTGAAGGGAACTGAGGTGTCATTGTCCTGTGTACAGTGTTGCATCTTCAATAAATGTCCCCCTTTTTCATATTACATGGCTGGATACTTTCTGGACAATCCTCGTATGTGTGTGTGTTTAGAATGTATAAAATGGAATAGTCATGTCTAATATGTGAAATTGGACATTTTGAAGAAAATATAACCTTATGATATTCTAGCATTATTTCCTAATAGTAAGATATAGATTGTATGCATTTTTATTAGTTAGTGTTGCTGAAGGAATATGAAAAAAAGGTGCTCTTTTTTTTATGTCTTGTTTTGTGCTTGTTTGGTTATGTATTCTGGAAAGAACTAGCTTTTTTTTTTTTTTTTTAAATCCTCAGCCAAGGATATGTTTATTGATTCTAGAGAGGGAGGAAGAGGAGGAGAGAGAGAGAAAAGAGAAAAGAAGACATCAATATGAGAGAAAAACATGGATCACTTGTCTCCAATACATACCCTAACTGGGAATCAAACCCTCAACCCAGGTATGACCTGTGACTGGGAATCTAATCTGCAGCAGTTTGGCGCACTGAACAATGCTCCAATTAACTGGCCACCCGGCCAGGTCATTGCCAATTATCTTGCCATCAGAATTAAACTCTCTAACTCTAGCGGCTGGTACAAGCTTAAATCAGCTTGAGTAAGCTCATGTAATAAAACAGCCCTGTTACCAGTACGGTTCTAAAGGCCTTTTTGTGCATTGGCTGTATTTTTCCTCTTACACTGCTGCTTTGGCAATAAATGCAAATTCTGTAGCTCTCTTACTCTTGATTTGATTCGGAATTAATTTACATTTGCCTTTCATAAGTTTTGACTTGTAACTGTGTCATCTCCAACCAGAAGAGGTTATTTAAATTTAAGTTTAAGAGTTGAGGTTACTTTTTTTTAATATATGTGACATACTAAAAAAGGAGGGCTAGAAAGACTAGCTAATTGCTATTGGCCATTTCTGTAAGCCATAGTAATTTAAGCTGTTGATAGCATCAGTGATTTTTAAATTTTTTAAAATAAAATATATAAGGTAAAAATTATCATTTTAACCATTTTTAAATGTACAATCATTAGCATTATGTACATTTACATTGTTGTGCAGCCATACCTAACATCTCCTTCTAGAATTTTCTCATCCTAAACAGAAACTCAGTACTCCTAATTAATCAATAACTCCTAATTCCACTTTTTATCTCTATCAATATGCTTATTCTAGGTACTTCATATAAGTGGAATTACACAATATTCTTTTTTTCTGGTTGACTTTTGGAGATATTTGCAGTTTTAACAGTGTTATGTTTAACAGCAGTGAACTGCTGATGTTTTTAAATGCTTGCATTTGGTGACATGATATAGTGCATATTATTTTACTTATACTTTACAAAATTTTTATTTTTCATTGTTAGTCTTGCATAGTTGAAGACAATTCAAAGTAAGATGATTCATATGGTATTGAGTATTGAGTATATAGACATCAAATTTGGGGTACAATACTGCTTTTATCTAGCTATTGTAATCCTCACCTGAGGATATGCGCATTGATATTTGAGAGAGAGAGAGAGAGAGAGAGAGAGAGAGAGAGAGAGAGAGAGAGAGAAATATCCATTGGTTGCCTCCTGTACACGCCCCAATCGGGGATTGAACCCACAACCTTTTGGTGTACAGGACAGTGCTCAAAACACCTGAGCCACCTGGCGGGGACAAGTACAATACTGCTTTTAAACACAAATGTTTCATATCACTTTATGGCTGTAAAAACTTAGAGTACATTATTACTCCACTCGCATAAGAGGGAATTAATGTGTGCAATTTATGTAAGTTTTTTACACATCTAACTTTTTTGTATTGTACTTAATATATTTTTTTCTGGCTACTACATTTGTTTTTCTGATGACAGTACTGAATTGGTATTATGGTTAGACATTTTCTTTTAGATGATGTGTAATCCAAAATATTGTTTTCTTTCTTTGTGTTAAATATTTTTAAAAGTAAGGAAGTACCGGGTCTAATCATCCTGTTTTTAATTTATTTTGTATTTCTAGGTATTTCTATGTTGTCCCTGGAGTGGGTAGTCCTGCGTCTTCTATTCAATCACTCTCCCTAGTCTTGAAATGAGAATATCTCTTCTCTACACTTTACCTCCACGATTTGGATCGAAAAGGCTGCTTTTCTTTTTTTTCTGCATCAAAAATTCAACACAGAGAAGATCCTAGGATGCAGTCATTCTGCCAACTTCTTCAGGGAGAAAGAAGCAACTGTCACGTTTCTTCTGCCATTTTAATTGTAAAGAAATTATTTTGCAGGCTGAAGGGTGATGTTTAATTTGAAACAGGTGCTTCAGTGGTGGTATTTGTAAACTTTCTACCTTTTGTTCCAAGAAGAAAACTATATAAATAGCAAGTATCAAGGGGTTTTGTTTGTTTGGTTTTGGTTTTTTTTAATGTCTTCCAGTAGTAGTCACTATCATAAGCACAGTTATGACTACAGGAATAAATTACAAACGTGTTGTAATTTGATATAAAAGAGATGCTAAATATATATATATGTGTGTGTATATATATATATATATATCCTGGCTCATCCTGTGACATAGATTAACTGGATAAGAACAAAGGTCCAATATTGCAGTGAAACCTTTGATATGAGGAAGAAGCATAAAAACAAAATATTGCAAAGTTAATTTCATGTGTGAATAAATCATCACTGTCTCTGTTTAAATACATATTTTAAAGTGTAAACCCACATATTTGGATGAGAAGAGCGATTTTTCTACTAGGAAGGAAGCTGTTTCTCAGAAGTCTTTGGACATTTGATGTTTTAAAATGTTTTGTTTTCTTTGTTGTTCTAAGGAAGGACTATATTGTGCAGCTGTTAACCCTATGAATGCATGCTTGGGATTAGTGAAAGTTGGGTAAAAGGAAACAAAAGTTTTGAGTCCAGTGATGGAACCCTGTTCACCTCCCTAGGATAAGAAGCTGCTATGTTACAAATTACTTCATTCATTTTTTGGAGTCTTATATAGCACTTATAGAAGTTTTCCATGCTGCTGGAAGAAAAGTGGCATACGTGGTTTTTCTGTTCAGAAGATGTGATGGACCCTACAGTGTAACCTGCCTTCAACTTTGGACATGGAGGAATGGGGCAAAATAAGAAAACTTTCCATATAACTCCCTTCTCCTAAGAAAAGGAAGCAAAAAATGACTTACAGTTCCACCTGACTTGATGGTGTTTTACATTTCGTAGCTTTGTTTTTTGTAAAAGTATAAATAACTTTTTCCTTTGATCCAAGACCAGTACTTGGATGTTTGATTTCTTTTTCTAGGTGACAGCTGTAGTGTTAGGCTGAAAAGGCTGGGACTCAGGTAACTTTCCCCACTCTTCATCAGAGAATGGGCCTCAGAAGCAATGTTGCCAAACTTGTGGTTGGCTCAGTGTACAAGAAGTTCAGGTCTGAAAAAAACCTGAAACAAGAAAAATAGCTTCAACAAGATGTATGGATCTTCCTCTCCCTTAAAACTTAAGCTATAGAGGAACAGACCATAGTGTAAAGCTGTTAACTTCAAAATCAACAGAAGAACAGTGTATGAATCGTCAGGTCTCTGCATAAGAAGAATGAAATCTTTATGAGTCTCTGTGATTTGAGAAAGAATTTAAAGCTTCTTAGATGAAATTAAGAACAAATCATCTTAGATCATCTCTGTGATTAGGGAATGTTTGCCTAGGGCCAAACATGCTGTCATGTTGAAAACTTGGTGCAGATTTACCAAGATTTGAGAGTGATAGAACTGGCCAAAAAATGGAAATGTTGCGCACTCTTGATTAGTTTAATTGGTCAGCCAGTTTGAATTGGTATAAGAAAGCTTTTTAGTAAAATAAATAAAATGTCATTTTCTTTAATTGAGGGCAATTACTGAGTGGTACAGCACAGAAGTAACCAGATAAAGGTAACAATTTTTTTCTCTTAAGTAACTTCCCAGCCACTTCCTGATAAACATATTTAAAGTACTTTGAAATTGTTAAAGACAATGGAATTTACATACATGGGTCCCGGTGGTATAGAGAGTGTCAGATGGGAAATTTATATCTTCAGTTTGTTACCTACTTTCCTTGTATCCTTTTGGCAACTTTTTGGGTAGGATCATTTGACAGAGAATAGGGACCCTGTACTATCAGCATAGTGAAATCATCTCTGGCCCACTTGTTTGAATAAGTATCAGACTCAGTTTCTCTGGTTGCTTTATATTTTTTCATTTCACAGCTAAGAGAACCGCTGTTTAATACTCTTTCATGTTGTTTCTGCATCCTGCTACCAAATGGCATTTAATGAAATGAGCATATTGCAGTTGTACTTGTCCAGTGTTTACTTATTACATAGACATTTTTTTCCTGGTCTATTTTGGTCTCCTCCTTGATGGCAAAAGTTGTAGTTTTAGGCAGAACCATGCATCCATCCTAAGCTATATCTGCTTCCTTTCCTTTGCTCATCCATTTTAGCTGGCAGGTTTGGGATTTTCTTTTTTATTTTGTTTGTTTTTTTTTTTTTAAGTTAAAAACGGGATATGTGCAATAGAAATATATATATGTATATTTTAATACTTGTGGACAAATGTTACAAGTTGTTTCAGAACAACAAAATCACCAATGTCTTCCATTTTGAGATGTGTATAGTTTTGTAAGCATTAGTGCTTAGTAGCATATTGTAGTGCCATGTTAGAAGTTAGTGCATGAGCCTAGTAATTATTTAAACTTCAGGATGAATTATAATAACCAATAGTGTAAAAAGTGAAAAATGTAGACCTTTTTTCCTAAGTTTCGATATCCATGATATTCTCCCTGGGGAGAGATTAGGCCAAAAAGACTCATTTATAAATAGTAATGTGAGATCACAATGTGAAATACTGTGTTTGAGAATATTTAAGCTTTTCATGAGGTAGCTGGAAACCAGCTGCCTTAGTGTCTTATGAAACCTTACATCCAAACGTGGCCCCATTTCAGGATTCTGCTTTGCTCAGTTTGAGGTGAGATTGTTCTTACGCTATTTTCACATTCTATGTCTTTTACATTTATTATTTTCCTACTTTTGCATCAGGAAATTATATTGCATGTCCTACTGAGATGCTATGTTAATTGCTTAAGCGAGTGCTTTTCTAATCTGCAGATCATTTACACTTTCTGCAGCATGCCATGTGTCAGTAGTTCAGAGTGTCCTGCATTAATTTGTCATGGGCTTTTCCTATTTCCAAATTTGTTGAATTGTGTATTGTTGGGATTCCAGACCTTTTCACAGAATTGGAAATGCAGCCAACAGAGCCTTTGTAGGTTGCCATGTAATAACTAACTTTTGCTTGGTTATAGCTGCCTCAGACAGCTTTCACTTTTCTACTTTCCTTGTAGTCATAAAAATTATGGTATTCTGAAAGCATAAGATAGCTTATTGTCGAAAAGAAATTCCTACCTCTAAAAGCTGCCTTGAGAACTGGGAAATGGCAGTTTTCTGAGGTGATTTTTAAATCTTAGTATTAGAAGAGTCCAAAATTTATTGGCACAGGTTCTACAGTTAGCATGATAGGAAATTCAAAACTATTTTAATGTACTGTGTCTTGTGTGTAGAAACAAACTTAGACAAATAGATTCTTCTGCAGCAGATCTCCAGGGACCCAGGTTTCAATTCTCATAGTGTACTTCAAGTAATTGTACTCTTGGCTCAAATAGTTTAGTGCCTGTGAGAATCCATTTCTGAAAAGCATTTAAACATTTTTTAAAATACCTCTGAAAAGGTAATAAATGCAAAGATAGCACAGTACGTATAGGAAAGGGTATTCCCTATTGAAAAAGAAAAGAAAAAGCCATAAAATGAAATAATACTTTTCAAGAGGTAGAATTTTAGTAGCAATAACAGTTTTGGCATGTAAAGTAAGTTGCATTAGCAAGACTGTATAGTAGAATAAGTATCACTAGAGTTTGTGAGGCTCTGTGGTTAACAGAGTTGCAGAAAAGGAAGTTTTAGATAAAGAGCATATAAAAGTTACTTTTAAAACTATGAATGTATGTGAATACATCAGTGAGAAATAACAACTTTTGTGTAAGTTAAAGGTTAAAGACCCTATTGGTTTCCTAGAGCAGAGGGTTAGAACCTTTGAATGAAATTTTTCTAGTGCTTAACCTGGGAAATAAATGTACTCTTACTGATGAAGTCCCACTGAAGCTATTGTGTGGGGATTTTGCTTATTTTTTTTTTTAAGCATCAGGCAAATAGTATACTTTTTGCTTTGTCACCTTACCTTCCTCCATTAGTTTCCTGGGTATATTCTTAAAAAGGAAAAGTTTGTTGTGTGTGTGTATTTAGAATTTTAAAAATTAAAACTTGGATAGCTGGCCTATGGTTAGTTTAGGGGAGTTAAGATTTAAAGGTGTAAAACGAAAGGATTGAAGGGAATAACCAAAGACAGTATGTTGGTTTTTTAAACCTTGTCTAATATAGATGTGTTAGGCCTGCAGTCTGTGACTACTTATTTTAACAGAAACCCAGCAAACTAGTTTCTTGATCTGAGCATGCACAGAGCTCACATCAGGATATAATAGTGGAATGAGGGTGACTTCTTACTCCCTTTTACCTCATGTCATCTTGGCCATTTAGCACCTTGAAGAGATCCCTGAGGGGACTCAGTCTGTTTCCTTGTTTTTCCAGGGGAAGAAAAAAAGAAACCTAAAAGATAAATGGAAAAGATCTAAGAACATAGTGCCTCTTGAATATTTAATTCTTATATGGCAACTCCAAAGGATAGGAAGGCTCTACTAAATTGATTATAGCTCCTCTTTAAATGTCCTACACCATCAGTTGGTGTTAGAGACATTGGAATAACCAAGCAATATTCAGACATCTGCATGATCTTGAGAACACTAGGTGTATTACTGTGATGTCAACAGTTTAGCTACTTAGAACAATTAAAGCTTACCCTTAACAGCCACATCAATTGTTCCAAATGCTAAAATGTGCTAAAAGTTTTTGTAGTTTCAAAGTACACAGTTAATTACTTTTCAGTGTTGTAGTCTCATGTTTACTCTTTGTGTACTTGTGATATGCAAAATATGAAGAGACCTTGTTCTCCAGGAGTTTACATTATCATGGTGCTGCTGGTGCAAGCAAATTACTTCTAGTTTATTCAGAACATTGCTTGGCTATTAATCATACCATATTTGGAAGGATCCCTTGACCAACAGTTTTCAAAAGCAGAGGGCTATGCTAAATTTCAGGGCATTGATTTTTGCGTTTACATTGTATTAGCTCTGCTGTTCATAAACTCCTTTCCCCCTGGGAGCTGTGCAGCTAATGCTCTTAACATGAATTAGAGAAGAAACCATTCTAAGAGCATCTTTACCGTCCCTACACCGCCTGTGCTCCTCTACACTACAGCAGTCAAAAGGCCAAGAAACTTACTGCTCCAGAAGACTGTGCATCTCTCAATTCTATTTCTTTTCCCAGAGTTTTTACATCATTCTGTATCCAGAAGGACCAGGATTTGCCATTAAGCTTTTTGTAACTGAATATTGGTCCTAATTTTAACTTTTTTTGTGACTTTTGTACCGCTATTCTGAAGCAGCATTATGATAGACGTGGAGCACCTGCCTGCATTTCTAAGCAATTACTTAAACCCTATTTTTGATTGAAACTGCATGTATCCTTGTTTCTAATTCCTCTGAATCAAGAGATTTACTTTGCATGTTTATTAAAACTGGGTCTGGATGAAAGTACAAGCAATAGAGGCAGGCCCATAACTCTGATTTTAGAGCACTAATATTCTAATGCATGATTGATTGAAAATGTCCAGTATTATGTGGCTACTATTATATATATATGCATTTATTAATAATGAAGCAATAGACTTAAACCAGTAGCTTGAATTTACTGTTTGGATTATTAGTTTTCATTTTCTAATTAAAGATGATCTTACTTCCATTGAAAATGGGAGCTAGATGATAAACAGGGGCAACTGTAAGATATTCAAACTGTCAGGAATAGAGCATAAGAGTGCTCATCACCCTCTAACCTCTTACTTGGTTCCATTAGTCCCCGAGCATGTTTAAAAACAATACAAAAGGCACAAACTAAGCATGTGGAATAAATAAATATAGCTATGGCTATAATAATCAGGTGCAGAGTTTCAGAAAGGGTAGGAAAGTAGGGAACAAAAGTATGGAATATGTAAAGTAAATAAGGGTTTGTCAAAGTCTATGTGGCTCAAATTTGCATCTTAAAAGTAGGATCTTGGAAGTGGATAGAGGCAATATGCACATATTTCATGTTTCAGGGTTTTTTAGATAACTAGGCAACTTTCTGGATGGTACTGGTATTGACCAGCCATGAAGGATTTTGGCAGCAAAACTGTTCCATTTTGGGGAAATAGTCCTGAGAAATATTAACATATCTGTGGCTTGGTTTCTCTTTTGTTACTGTATTTATTACATTAACACTTTTTTTAATAGCCAGAGTTTTATTCTTGGCATTTTGGTCAGACTGCATAATTTGTTCCTAAAGCTTTTGATACCAAGTAAACAGGAGCAAGTTTTCTTATTTGTTTTTTTGTGGTAGCTTAAAATTTTTTAGATGATTCCTAACTTTGGAATAATCCTTGTTAAGTACAAGTAATTAAGGTACATAATGTAAATGGAATTAATTATACCTGAAAGAGGTCTAAACAGGATTAGACTAGACACCGCTGTGGGATTTCACTCCAAATACCTTTGGGAATGTTTAACATTGCAGTATCTGGTCTCAAATACAGGAAGTGAGATGTCATATCCCATGTGTAAATTTTCTCTTTGCCATGTATTAATAACATGCCTGTCAACCAAGGAAAACAACAAAGGCTTAAGGACAGAGTTTCTCTAAACTCCTTTCCCATTTTTGCAATTAAAAATTACTGGGAAAACAGACATCACTGATTTTTCCACGAATCCATATTCCTTAGCCTCCTTTTAAGTCAGAATAGATGTTCTAAGATCAATGACAATTTTTCAGAAGATTTTGTCTCCTGTGGTGGTGGTTTGCTATGGTACTGATTTAAAATATAATTTTTCTCCCAGGGATAAGAAAGGTATTCTGGCAATACATTATCATCAGTCCTTAAACAACTAATCATTTAGAGGATTACCTTAAAATTACTCATCACTTATATTTTAAAAGATTCACATTACAGTACCCTTCACATAGAATTTTATGTACTGTCCCGTTAAGTACAGTTGTTGCTGTTTTTCCTTACTGTTCTGTATCTTCTCCCTTGCACCGTTGGTATAGATGATAATGTTGAATTTCATTGAATGTTTATTACAAAAGGCAGCTTTTTAATCTATGCATCTTTGGGATTTTAGAAAAGATTTTATTCTTTGATGTAAAAAGGAACTGCTTTAAGAGTTGGAAACTCTGCACCTGTGTATATGTATATTTTGGCAATAAAGCAGCATGGTCTGAGAATGCACTGAAATTTCACTGTGTTGTTACTTGGAATGAGTAATTTCTAATGATGCCATAAATTATGGGAAAAGGAACCTACGCACAGACCTGTGCTGGGGCACAGGCTCCAGATACCTAAGTTATGGTGGTTTCTGGTGTCCAAGGGAACAAGCAACCACCTGAAGAAAGAGGCTTTTCTTTCTTTCCTCTCCTTCTTTCATTTATTTATTTATTTATGTTCAAATTATAAGAGAAAGTTTATTTAGAAAGTTAGGGAGGTAGAAGTGCACCAGCTGGGCTATACAGGCTCAGGTAACAAGTTACACAGGCACAAAAGGGTCTTTGGAGCTTAGGAGAAAGACCATAGTACTGTGCCTGGGGGGAAGAAGGTGAAGGGAAAGGTGAGAGCATGCTCCCCAAAGGGACAGAGCACCTACAGGCATCCCATTTAAACTTACTCCATTCCCTTTCTGCTTTTAGGGCCAACCTTATGTTAGGTCTGTGAGCAAATGTTTCTGGTAAGGAAATAATGATCTAAGTACAATAAGGACACAACTATTGCAGGGAATCCTTATCTGAAATATATAAAGCATTTAAGATCCTTTTATATTTAATATTTAAATGTTGGCTGTTAACTAAAAATGTTTTAACACTGTAAGAGGTCCTTCTCTTGATTCAGGTGAAAGGAAAGGAGGTTTTTCAAGTAAAAGGAAGTCAGACCTTACAAATTTCTTTGGGATTTAATATTGTAAATGTAGAGAAACAAAAGCTGTGTGGTTTTTTATGGTGTGACAACTAATGTAATAGTGCCTTTGATTTATAAGAGTTACATTTAACACACACTGACTGATACATTTCACTCCCAAATACTATGCTAGATCTTGGGTTTACAATAATGAAGATGGTTTCTGCCATTAAGGAGTTCAAAAGTTTACAACTCAGGGACCTTCAATATGCAGGTTTTTTCCTTAACAATTACATGGAATTTTGAAACTATTCAACATATAAACAATTATAAATGGTATCGACCTTTAGTAAAGTAGCCTTAAAATCTGTTGATATCAGCCACACTATCATCAATGTTTGTTAGACTTCAAGAGCAGCTCCTACTACCTAAAGCATGTTTAAAAAGTCAACGACTTGTGAGAATATCAATTAGTATAACATACATAGAAGGTATAATACTAGAATTAGTTTTAAGTGCACATATCCTTTGTGCTACTTTAGAAGTCACTAACAGAAATATCAGTAGATATGCAAAAATACATACCTTATCAAATATAAGAATAATTAAATTGATATATAATTGAATTATATGCTAAATGTTAAAAACAAATGAAATTTGCATATGGGCTGGTGTAGAAAGTTGCCCATATTTATTGTGTGAAAAGCAGGTTGCAAAATAATGTTAACATAATTGCCTGTTTTATGTCTACACATGTATATCCACACATGATGGTTATAATAGCTAGTATTAATGACCACTTACTATATGAAGCACTACTCTTATTACCTTAGGCATATTATTAACTTGTTTTAAATCCTCACTATAGCCCTAGTTTTTAATCCGTTTTACAAGAATGACTTCCGTCAATTCTTCAAGTTCACAGCTAATGAGTACCCAAGGAACTATTTGAATCCAAATAGTTGGGCTCCAGAGCTTACCCACTTCTCAGCATGCTCTAAGAAGTGGAAAGGGAAAGTGCACACGCTTCATTTGGTCACATACCTGTGTCTGCATGTTTTTCTAAGTGAGCACATAATTTGTATTTGGAAAAAAATCTTTTTAAAACCAGCCAGCTTAATCTGATGTCAAGTTCAAGCATTTAATTTTCTATTGAAAGTCTACCAAATAGTAGGTCCAGAGGTTAAAGAAAACAGCTACATAAGAACAGCTTTTTAATTTAGATAAAGGAAATATTTTGAGGCAGATAGACTGACATACTTCAATATGTTGTGAATTTTCTGGTACTGTGTTGCCAGAGGCTTCACACCCATGCTTACAAAACCAAGTGTTCCAATTCAAAAGCATAAAGCAAAACAATTTTCAACAAAATACTTTAAAGGTATATATCCTTTATAGAGTATAAAATGGAAAGAATCTGCTTTTAAAAATCTAGCTGCACCTGAACCAAGTTAACTTCTCTTGAAGCACCTTGGCTTGGTATCATTTGTTGACTCTGCTAGTGTGAGCCCCTCCCACTCATTCTCCACAGGACAAACATAATGAGGTTCTGTGAATTTAATGCTGTCATAGTTCTCCTTTTAAAATTCTTCAAGGATTTCTCATTATTCTTGGGATAAAAACAAACATTCTTCCATTGTTCAGTAAGACCTTGCATCTTCTGGTCTCTGGTCACCAGAACTCCTGCACGCCTTCTTTTAAAGGCCTCACAGGGCCTTTGAATAGGAGGTCCCCCCACCTTACCTCCAATTTGCCTTTCAGACCACTGCTGAAACTTCACTTGACCCCCCAGCCCAGTTCAGTTACCTGCTACATGTGCTTGTAATTCTATGTCCCTTTTCTTCAAACCCTTAATACAGCCGCTATGAGCCAAAGTGTGTAGTGTGAAAAAACAAAAAACCAGCATTTCAGTGAATGTTTGATGTTTTATTATTACCTTATTAAGCTGTTTCCAACCGAAAAGAGAAAAACTGTTATCATCCAACTTACTGAGTATTACCTAAAAAAAGATTGTCAGTATTCCTATAACTGCTCCATGTAGGAATCACAGTAGTCGACGTTAAGTACTTCTTTTTCACATGCATCTTTAGCTCAGAAAATGGCACATTGCCTCTTACTCCCTAAATGTGCAATTAAAGGTGTTTTCAGAAATTACTACGAAACATAAGAAAACTAAAATAATTTCTAAAGGCAAACAGCTATGAAACCTGGACAGAAGTCTTCTTAGTTTCGTTTCTTCTAGAAAGAGCTTCACAAATCATTTGGAAAATCAGCATAGAGGTAAACATAATAAACCATATTTGCTGTCCATTCTTGAAGTCAATCTTTCTCGAGAAGTTATCAAACAGCACCTGTCTTTGAAGAGAGCAGTAAGGCCTGACCCTGGTACTCAAACTCTGGTTCTGGATTAGTTCTTTGGCTTGGTCTGGTCAGGACCCACTTCCTTCAGCATCTCCATCAGTGAATTTAAGTGACTGTGCATTAACATTATCTTCTCTTTCAGCTGGGAAGAGAAACATATACACATCAACACATTGTAAACTTAACTCTCAATTTGTTGGTTCTAGAAGTCACTCCAAGTTCAAGCTACTAATTGGGAGCTGGCAGTGTCTCAACACATTTATTAATACATTTGTTCTATTTCTGAAAGAAATGTATATAACAGTACAATAAGATCCCCAGATACAAAGTTTCACATGAAAAAAGACCAGCTATTGGTGAGCATCTCATCCTTTCTGCTTCTGTCTCATCCTTTCCTAACCTATCATCAGGTTGAAACTCCGAAAACTGGGAAGAAGACAAGAATAAAGTGAATAACAGAACTTGTAGAGACAGAAGCATCAACTAGTCTTCCTCTCTTTTCCTAGTGGCAAATATATATCTTTTTTTCTAACTCTGTTCACAGTAAAAAAAAAAGTCTTTCTTTAATATTCTGCTAATGGTCTTCAAAAGTAGCTCTACTTCCCAGGTTTAGAAGAGATGTTTGTTGCAATTTAATAATTTTGAATAGTTCTTTCACCTTAGAATGGCTGTATCTAGAACCAAACTTTGTGGTGTTACTCAGCATACAGTGTGTACTTAGATTCATAAATAAACAAATTTATCATGGAATACAGGATAATGTATAACAGTCTTCTCCTGAAGACAGGATTAACAAAAAAAAAAATCTTATTTCCTGTTAATCTTACTGGGGTGCTCCTGGATGTGATGAATCTTTTTTTTTCCTGCTTTCAAGATTATTTTCTGTCTATATTCCAACATGTTTATTATGATGTGCTGGAGTATAGCTTTCTCTGCATCTATCCTACCTATGCTTGGTGAGGTTTCAAATATGTAAATTAATGTTTTCCATCAAATTTGAAAAGTTTTCAACCATTATTTCCTTGAATTTTTTTTCTATTTTCTCTCTCTCCTCTCCAATTCGTACTCCTATTACCAAAACATATTTAGGTGTTTGATATGTCCAGCAGGTCTCTAAGGTTCATTCAGTTCATTTTTCTTCATTGTTTCTCTCCTTTTCAGATTGTATAAGGTCATCAATTGATATCTCTTTGATTGCATGAGATCATCAATCTGTATCTCTGAGTCCGCTGATTCTTTTTTTGACCAGTTCAATTGAGCCGCTCTAGTGAATCTTTAATTTCAGCTCTTGTACTTTTCAACTCACAGAATTTTTATTTTGTTCTTTTTTATAATTTCTCTCTTTAGGGATATCCTCTATTCTTTTTTTAACCCTCATCTGAGGATATATTTATTGATTTTAGAGAAAAGGAGGAAGGAAGAGATGGAGAAAAAGGGAGGGGAGGAGGGAAGTAGAGAAAATGAGGGAGGGGAAGAGAGAGAGAGAAAGAGAAACATCAGTGTGAGAGACATCAATTTATTGCCTCCCCTACGCACCCCAACCAGGAATTGAACCTGCAACCATCTGGTGTATAGGACGACTCTCCAACCAAGCCACCAAGGCAGGGCAGGGATATCCTCTATTTGATTAGACATTGTCACCTTATGTTACCTATGTTTTCTTTTCTTTTTTTTTTTTTTTTTAGATTTTTAAAAAAGATTTTATTTATTTTTAGACAGAAGAGAAGGGAGGGAGAAAGAGAGGGAAAGAAACATCAATGTGTGGCTGCCAACTGCGCACCCCCTACTGGGGACCCAGCCCACAACCCGGACATGTGCCCTGACTGGGAATTGAAGTGGCAGCCCTTGGGTTCACAGGCCAGCGCTCAATCCACTGAGCCACACCAGCCAGGGCCATTACCTTCTTTAAAAAGAAAAAAATCAGTACAGGGGTCTTCTTTTTTTTCCCCACACTTCTCATGCCATGAATTCTTAGGGAATGGGCTCCAGCAACTCAGGCTCCTTTCCATTGGTTCTTACACCTTGTGCTTCTCTGGGTGGAGCAGGCTGGCACTTCAGCTGAACCCAAGTACCCTTCTCTTTGGCTTCCTTCTTTTTCTGATCTTTTACTTAACAAGTTTCAGGAAGCTATCTTGGCTCTTAAGAGTGCTCGATATGCTTAATACATACATTAATTCTCTTGACAAGGATCTTACCCTTTTTCACAACAATGCCAACCACATGCCGGGTGACAATGTAGACTCTTCCAGGTTTACCATGGGAACATTCGTGGGGATTCCTTTTGAACAGTGCCCATTCCCTTGATGTCTACAATATGACCTTTCTTGTAGATTTGCGTGTATGCGACAAAGAGAACAACTCCCTGTTTTCTAAAAGGCCGAGAGAACATACAGCGGTGCCTCTCCTCTTTCCCTCTGTTAGTCACTTTGGTAAATCACTGGAAGATGACAGTTACGGCCAAAAAAGCTCGTTTACTTCTTTAAGTATGGGTTTGTTTAGTTTTTTTGGACAGTTTATAATAGCTGTTTCGAAGGTTTTCCTTCTAAGTCCAATATCTGGGCCCTTTAAAAGGTAGTTTCTGATGCCTGCTTTTTATCCTTCATATGGGTCATACTTTTCTTTGTGTGTCTCCTAATTTTTACTAACATGACACACACACCCCTTCTTGTGGTGATGGTTTGCTTATCTGTTTAATGAGTTGGCGAGACTATTTTGTAAATGTCTAACCATTATACTGTACATTTGAAACTAATATTGTCACCTGTAATTGAAAAATAAATAAAGACAGCTCTTTGGGAGAGTCTCGGAGCTCTGTTTTTTGCAGTCTGCCTTTTAAGCTGGGATCCCATGCTGGAGAGAGGGGTGATGTCTCTCAGAATGATACCCCTGATTTATAAGCAAGGTGCTTGGCAGAGACAGTAGCTTCTGGTGTTCTTACCTTGCCTTTGCCAACATGAAACCCTACAAACAAGGTAGGGCAAGGGTGAATGAGTTCCCGGTACTCTTATCTACCACAACTGGGTGTTCTTGCCTGGAATAGAGCTTTAATGAGAAATACTGGTAGCCTGTCTTGACTGCATCCACCCAGATGGAACCGCTTTCCCTCTGAGCTGGAGGGGTTTGGTATAGTGGGCAACTTTAAGTGGTATCGGGAACTGTAGTCCCACGCAAGCTGGGGCCTGGGAGAGGACCTGCAAGATTTGGCCAGAACACTGGTAATGTGGTTGAGGGCCCCTGAGGAAAATAAGGCCTAGAAGTAAATTACACTTCTTGAAGCATGCCTTGTTTCTCCCTCAAGCTCTGTTAATCTTCTACCAGATAATGGGCTCAAGGCTGGGAAAGAAATTTACAAAATTCCTGGACCCTGACCCAAATCCTACCTGACACCATAATGTTTGCTTATCTCAGACCCAAGCAATTCAGTGTGTTCCTGCCATTGTCTTCTTTAAACATCACCTACTCTGTAAATTTAAGCTACTGATGTAATTAGATTATCTATACATTCCTGCTACCTATCCCCTGCTTGTAACCCTCTCCATAAAAGCCATTGAGCACCAGGGCTGAGGCATTCTCCTTGAGAGAGAATTGCCTTCCCCTTTCTTTGACAGGCAAATGGTGTCTGGAACGACTCATTCTCCCATCTGCGCGGAACCGGGGGGACTTCGCAGGCCGGAGAGAAGGAGGGAAAATGTTATGGCTCAAATGCCATAGGCTGTGACTGTTCTTACTAAGGTTTAGTAGCTTTTGAAAATCTACATTCTTGAAAAAAAGTCTCATTTACTTTCCACTTTGAGGAAAATTTCCAGACTTAAGATGGTTGTTTTCTTTATAATTTTCTTCAGTTATGGCTGTTTTGCTGGTTAAGGGAGTGTCCATGGAACTCCAAAGCTCCCTATTCTGAAACTTATCTCCCATACCGGTTATTTTTAATCATAACATTATAGTCCCAACTTAGTTGCTCAGAGCAAGGGTTGACAAACTATGGACTGCAGGAGAGCCTCCTGCCCAGTTTTGTAAATAAAGTTTGTTGCAATACAGCCACACCCATTTGTTTATACATAGTCTCTGGCTGCTTTTGTACTACAGAGGCAAAGTTGAGTAGTTGAAGCTGAATGGTCACAAAGCTTAAAATATTTGTCATCTAGTCCTTGATTAAGTTTGCAAACTCTTGGCCTACAATATGATTTCGTGAGCTTAGTTAACTATGAAAAAAAAAAATCACTCTTCTGTTCCAAAAGGTACTTAAGCTTTGAAAAATAAGTGCCACTGGTTTGCCATAATTTTTTATACTTGGCTTGACATACCTTATTGACTTTCTGACACAAAGCAAAATATTAAAGACTGCCTTCTTATTGATGCCTTGCAAAATGTGTAACTAGCAAGGAATAAACTATTAACACTACTAAAAACAAAATCAACAATAAATTCTTCTGAAGGTAGTGAAATTATAGCCAAATTTCCACTCAGAGTCAGCAAGCTACCAAAACAAAGTTGCTTTCTTTAATTCAAAACCACCAACCACTAGTAAAACCCATTTAAATAAGAATTTTTAATGATCATTTTACCACTCCTTACTCTGAGACAGCTAAGTACATGCTGTATGCAAAGAGGATAAATCTATGTAAGGTGACAGTGTCCACTCCAGGCATAGGATAGAAAGTATACGAATGCAGGAGCTGAGCAGCTTTCCAGCTTCTCCTGAACTAGGCCTTTCAATAGGACTTTAATATTTTGCTTTGTGTCACAAATCCAATAAGGTATGTCAAACCAAATATAAGAATTGTTGGGGGTGGGGGGCACTGGCTAGTGTGATTCAGTGATCTGAGTGCCGGCCTGTGAACCAAAGGCTTGCCAGTTTGATTCCCAGTCAGGGCACATGCCTGGGTTGCAGGCCAGGTCCCCAGTAGGGGATGCTCAAGAGGCAACCACACACTGATGTTTCTCTCCCTCTCTTTCTCCCTCCCTTCCCCTCTGTCTAAAAATACATATAAAATCTTTAAAAAAAAAATTGTTGGGGGGTGCGGGGGGTGGGGTGTAGAATTGGTTGAGTTTCACATCACTTCATTGCCCCCATATTTTTTAGTACAAGTTATCAGGAGCTGTTTAGATTAAAGGAAACATACAACAATCATGAAATTTTACCTCTGCAACCTTTTCTGGTAGAGGCATGTTGTGAATATCCACCTCAGATGCATTTATGATGGCTTTTGTTTCTAAGAGATAGCTAAATAGAAAATAGAGTGAGAAAGTATTAGTCCCATACCACAGTTAAGATTATCAGTGAACCAAACTTGCCCTCTCAAGTAGTATCTGTCAAGACTGACTCCTTACTGATTTCCATTTCATTTGTAGGAAAAACAAATTTTCAAGTAACAAACCATCAGAGAGTATGTTCCCTCATCTACCCCTTGCCAACCAGGAATACATGAGACAAAATTATTGCAGGAAAAACTAGACAAAAACGAGGGTCATATAAATAATCATGATGAGTGTAAGCTTCACACTCCACAGGAGATACTGTAGCACAGTTAGAAGAAAAATAATCACATGACAAATGGTTGGTTGCCTACCCAGAAGCCATTCCTCAGTTCTTTGGTGTTAATGGAACCAAGATTTTGTTTAGTGCAACAGTGTACTCTGTCTGAACCATAACTGTTCCAAGCCAACTGTGGCAATCTTATTCCCTATTTTCAGACTTGTTTACCCAGTTTAAGGCAATCATGTGACATAGCTCTGGCCAATAATTATTTTGCTGATAAAAGAAGACCATTCCCTATATTCCCATACTTCCCATATCTTTTTTCTTCCAGGTGGGGACGCTACTGTCTCTAGATAATTCCAGCAGCCATCTTGCATCCAAGAGGAAAAGGCCAAGAGAACCAGAGCTGCTGACCCAGGGCCCTGTCATGGCTGAGCCACTAGACTCCTGGAGTGGCCAACCACCCCCCACCCTTACTTGTTAAACCCACTGTTAATCAGCTTTTCTGTGACTGGCAACCAAATTCACTTTGATACACAGATACAGATTATCTTCCCAGACTCATAGTACCTATACTTTCCTCATTTCTACTCAATCAAAAAGAATATACAGATCTTTGGGTCCAACTCACTTTAAAGATTAAGAAACTGCCCTGACCAGTGCAGCTCAGTTGGTCGGGTGTCGTTCAGCAAAGCAAAAGATTGCCAGCCGATTCCCAGTCAGGGCGCCGCCTAGGTTGTAGGTTTGGTTCCCAGTTGGAGTGCATGGGAGAGGCAACTGATCGATGTATCTCTCGCACATCAATGTTTCTCTCTCTTTTTCCCTCCCTTCCCCTCTCTCTAAAAATAAATAAAATCTTTAAAAAAAAATTAAGAAATTACTTAGAATCCCATAATTCTTTTCAAATTCATATTAAAAATTTTTGTTACCAGCCCTGGCGGGTGTGGCTCAGTGGATTGAGCATTGGCCTGTGACCTCAAAGGTCAGAGGTTCAACTCCCTCTCAGTGCACATGTCTGCATTGCAAACCAGCTCCCCAGTTGGGGGTGTGGGAGAGGTAAACCAACTGATGTTTCTCTCTCATATCGATGTTTCTCTTCCCTCTCTTTTTCCCTCCCTTCCCCTCTTTCTAAAAATAAATAAAAATAAAATCTTAACAACAACAACAAAAAAAGTGTATCTTAGTCTACTCACCACACCATTTTATCACTGGAAAGACAGAAGTGACCTCTCAAGGCAGCCAGGGCAGCATGGGTAGAATACAGATGGAAACCAATGGGAATCTCACAGGAACTACAGAATAAAAGGTTGTAAGTGCTGGGGGGGGAAAAAAACAATATGGGTAAGAAAGAAAATCAGAAACAAATAGAAAATAACCAGTCTCTGGGAGCATTCCTAAAAACTGTGCTATAATAGGATTGTCACATTCAAGAGAGGTTAAATCAGGCTTTAATATAATTATGCCTTAGATGACAGACAACCTTGTGGATTGTGGCCACAAAAGAAACCATGGATAAAGGACTCACGGACATGGAAAACAACGTGGTGACTGCGGGAGGGAAGAGGGGTATAAGGGGGCTAAATGGTAATGGGAAATAAATACTATTAAAAGAAATCATGAATGCCTAACTGTAACTTTAACAGAGGAAAGCAGAGAGCTAATGTTTGAAAAGCAGAGAGCTAACTAATCAGATTAACATTTAAACATATAAAACTACACATGACCATTTAAATTAGCTACCAAGGAGTAATCAGGTTGACTAGGGCTTACTAAACAATTTATTAACAGCATTCAAATCAGGATTTTTATTCTGCAGACAAAACAAAAAACTTTAAAAAAGAAAAGGAATCCTATTACTCTAGCAAGCCATCAATTTTCTTTTTCTTCATCCTCTGAAACATTACTGGATGAAGAATCAGGAAATGTTGATTTTAGTTTTAGTTATACCACTTGAGTAAGTCACCATGTTAGCTGGTAATATCCAAATATTACAAAGAAATGTTTTAGGGGAAAAAACTGTTTCATTATGCATGTACTGAAAGTAATTTTATTTTTATTTCTTTTATCCTTACAGGAGGATATGTTTATTGATTTTAGAGAGGAGGGGGAGACAGACACTGACATGAGCGAGAGAAACATCAATTGGTTGCCTCCCTACGCACCCTGACCAGAATCAAACCCACAACCGAGGTACGTGCACTGACCAGGAATCAAACCCACAACCTTGTGGTGTATGGGACCATACTCCAACCAACTGAGCCATCCAGCCAGGGCACTGAAAGCAATTTTATTTTCTTTTTAATTTTTATTTTTGAAAGCAATTTTAAAGTGGCTTGGTAAGAGAAGAAATTTTTATGCAGTAAAATTGAGTATAAAAATCACATGGCTAAAAAGAAACAGATTCATGTCTATGGATACTAAAAAATTCCTAACAATAAAATATACTAAATTTATTGGTAAATGAAGTCCTATACCACACATGTAGTACTGCATTTTTTCTGACTATGGCTACCACAAAGCCAGCCATGAAATAAAGCTGCATTAATTTGAATTAAATCCTATATAGGAATTAATTACATCAGACAGAGCATAGTAACTATAGACCTTCTAACCTTTTTCATCTCATAGCACATATAAACCAATCAATAAAATTCTGTGGCATACCAAAAAATATATTTTTTGCCAATCTGACAAAAAAAATAGGTATAATTTTGGCTATTGTTGTGTTGGCCTTTGTCATTTTTATTTCATTAAATAGTAGTCTGCTAATGGCTCAAGTCCTTCACAAATGAAGATCTGTATCACCACACCAGGTAAAGAACTATGACCAGTTGAGTGCTTGCTGAAGGCAGAGGGATTATGAATAAGCAGTAGAAGAAGTTATAAATAGCAGCTTTGACCATGTGACCAGTTGTAGAAATGAGAACTGTAACTGTCATGAGTATTTCCATTTTATTATGAAAGTTTGCGTGTTTGTTTTCTTACCTCTCTTAGAAAACATTTTCTTTCCTTGCTTATTCCCTTATCATGTAACATGAGGTATATTGTCTATCACATTACTGTTAAATTTATACCATAGTATTTAAGTTATGAGAAAACAAGGAGAAAAGTTAACATCAATTACAGACTTTACTCCCTCTTCTGGAGAAAGGGTTGGTGCATTTTCAGTTATATGTAAAATAGTTGTACCATGTTACACAATTACAATGTTATTGTGTTTATTTGGTGACTAAGCATGGTTTTAAGAGATATATGTGGGTTCTAAGTTAACAAGTCATGGTTAAATTTTGTGTGTCAACTTAAGTGAGCCAGAGGGTGCCCAGTTATTTTGTCAAACATCATTATGAATGTGTTTGTGAGGGTGATTTTGAATGAGATTAACATTTCAATCAGTAGGCTGAGTAACACAGATTACACTGACTTAAGGGGGTGGCCCTCATATTACCAGTGCCTGACTAGAACAAAAAAAAAATGACACTCTGAAAAGTAAGAGGGAACTCTTGCCTGACTGCGTTGAACCCTAGCACGGGTCTTTCATCCTGTCTTTGGACTTGAACTGAAATGTAGGATCCTCTTGCCTCTAGAGCCGGTTGGCTTTTGGACTAGAACTTACACCTTTGGTTCTCCTGGTTCTCAGGCCTGTGAACTTGGACTAGACTTTATCCAGCTTGTTAACTACAGCTCTTAGGACTTCTCATCCTCCAAAACTGCATGAACAAATTCCTGATAATAAATCTCTTCCTACCAAGTCCCATTGCATCCCTTATTCCAAAAATACCCAAACACATGGTTCTTTCCCTCCCATGTTTTATAAACCATCTATATCAGTACTGTTCAACAGAAATATGCGAACATTAAGTAATTTAAAATGTTGTTAAAACAAATTTAAGCGTGTGAAATTAGTTTTAATATATTTTATGCTGCCCAATATATCAAAAATATAATTTCAACATGAATCAATATTTCTAAATATTAATTTTTTGGTATCAAGTGATCAAAATCCAGTATGTATTTTGCACTCACAGTATATCTCAAGTCAGAATGGCCACAATGCTCAATAGCTAGATGTGGCTGGTGGTTAAAGAATTGAACAGCATGGGTCTAGATGCATTGTCATCCTTTCTAAGGTGATATTCAGAGAGCTTCTGCCTCTGGCCCCACATGATCCAATTCCAAGCAGGCTACCACTCCTTCCCTCTGTTCCCTTTGGCAGAAAGAGGACACTCCAGTAAGGACAGGGTCTTTCAGCTGGGAAAGAGGAGCAACAGAACTCTTTCTGGTTACTAACTAAAGCAACTAAGAATTCCTATACTTTAACCCTAAAGCTGAATCAAACTGGTGAGAATAAACGATCTTGTCATTAAAGCCAACATTCAAAATCGAGGAGCCTTATCATACTAAATTCATTGAGTACTTTGTTGTCAGTACTATGTAAATCATAGTACAAGCAAAATGCAAAGTTTACTAGGGAGTACAGTAGTAACTTTTATCCTCAGTGGATACTTTTTCTTTTTAAAGATTTTACTTATTTTTAGAGAGGGGAAAGGAAGGTAAAAGAGAGGGAGAGTAACACTGATGTGAGACAGAAACATTGATTGGTTGCCTCTTCACATCCCCATCAGGAGACCTGGCCCACAACCCATAATGTGCCCTGACCAAGAACCAAAATGGTGACCTTTCTGTCTGTAGGCTGGCATTCAATCCACTGAGCCACACCAGCCAGGGCTCAGTGGACACATTATAAGACTCCCAGTAGGTGTCTGAAACTATGGATAGCAATGAAACATACACACACACAAACTCCCTTACCCAAGGATATATTTATTGATTTATTTTAGAGAAAATGGAAGGGAGGGGGAGAGAATCATTGATTGGTTGTCCACCATGCACACCCCAATGGGGGATTGAAACTGTAGCCTAGGCATGTGCCCTGGCCAGGAACTGCAACACTCTTTAGGGAGCACAGAACAATGCTCCAAACAACTGAACCACGCCCCAGCGCCAAACCCTTTTTATATTGTGTTTACCTATATATACAAACACTTTATAGCTTCTCTTCTGCATATCTGAGTAACCAGCATTACTACTCTTGCACTTTGGGGCCATTATTAAGTAAAATAAGGATTGCTTCAACACAAACAGTGGCACTGTGCCAGATGCTCTCTGATAATCAAGCCAGCTAGAAAAATGACTAACCATCAGGTAGTATATACAGCATAGGTACACTGGACAAAAGGCAGGACATTGTAAGATTTCATCATGCTATTCAGAGTGATACATAATTTAAAACTTAAGAATTGCTTATTTTTAAGTTTTCCATTTAATATTTTCAGACTGTGTTTGAGCACGGGTAACTAAAACTGTGGAAAGTGAAACGGTGGAAAACAAAACCATAGAAAGCAAAACCATGGATAAGGGGGACGGACTATTGTATTCAAGAATATAACATTCAACTGTGTGTGTCCCCCAGTTTTCTGGGTTACAGCAGAATTAATCCTGGCATTGCTTATTACAAACTCCTGGTTAAATAAATGCAAACTTAAAAGTCCTAGTTATCTCAAAGGATGTGGTCCCTAATAAGTTATTCTCATTATACACCAAAAGATAATTTTCTCCTTTTTCCTTTACTACAACAGCAATTTTCAACTGTTGTGCTACAAGAATTTTTGAAACATGCAATACATGACTATTTAGTCTGAGGCACTGACCTCTTTTCCTTTAGACTGTCAAATACAAAAATGACAACAGCCAACACAACAGCAGCCAAAATTAAGTTGGGCACCACTTTGTGTGGTATCGGGAATTGTAGCCCTACACAAGCCAGGCCTTGAAAAAAGGACTGTAAGTCTCGACCAGAAAACTGGGAATGCTGGGAGGCAGGCCTGATCCCATGCTAACACCGAAGGTTCCCGTGGGAAATCTGGCCTAAAGAATGCCTTGTATCCACTGAAGCTTGCTCTGTTTTGCACTGCCCTGCTAAGGAAAAACCAGATGTTTAAACTCCAAAAAGAAGTGAATTCCTGAATGCAGGAGCCATACCTTAAGACCATCTGACCTCAGCTGCCTTACAGACCCTGACCTGAGGCAAGTCTCTGTGTTCCTCCAGTTCTTTTCCATGGTATCTATCTGTTTTCTGTAAACATAGCCTTTAGGCATTGATTCATAAGCTTTGCATGCGCACTGTACACCCTGCGCATATCATCTCATCGTTCTCAACAAAAGCCACTTCAGAAAAGGGCTCGGGCATTCTCCACTAGAGAATGCCTTCCCCTTTCCCTAACAGCACTTGCTATCTGTAATGACTGGTTATGTCATCTGCAGTGAATCAGAGGACTCCGCAGGATGGAGTCCCCCACGAAATTATACTTATTTTCTGTCAGATTGGCAAAAATATATATTTTTTGGTGTGCCACAGGATTTTATTAGTTTGTGTGTGTGCCATGAAAGGAAAAAGGTTGAAAATCTCTGTTCTACTAGACATACCTTTCTTAGCCTCACTTCACTTGCACAAGCCACTACGTATATGTGGCCCTCAAAAAGATTTTTTTTAAAGATGTTATTTATTTACTTTTAGAGAAAGGGGAAGGGAGGGGGAAAGAAAGGGAGAGACTAATCCATGTGCAAGAGATACATGGATCAGTTGCCTCTCGCACGCCCCCAACTGGGGACCTGGCCAACAACCCAGGCATGTGCCCTGACTGGGAATTGTACCAGTGACCTTTCAGTTCACAGGCCGGCACTCAACTCAATGAGCCACACCAGCCAGGGCCAGAAAGATTTTAAAACCTACACAAATACAACTTTCCCACTGATTAATGCATCAAGTTCCCTGAAGACTGAAACAGGTAAAAGTATACTTCCAAGACATTGAACGGACGGAATAAAGTTTTCTTCCAGCTCACGATAGAAACAAACTGTTTTCTCCTTGTGCAGGTCCGTTCTACGTTCCTCAGTATCATTAAGTCAGGAACTAGAGCCGGATCAGGAATCTCTACGTACCTGCCTTTGAGTGTGCCTTCAATGCCAACTAGGAAAGGCTCTTCCAAAATCACGTTATTTGTAACCCCTAGGAAGAAAGAAAGGCAGGTCAGAACCAGTAGCTGTGGAGCCTTGAAAGGGAAAACTACCCCTTCCAGATTGGCTCATCAGGTCCACAAACAAGAAAAATTGCCCCCATCCCTGGCAATGGGTTAATTTCCAAATCTTAATCCCGCTTTCTTTCCCAGCCGGCTTTCGGCCACTCCCAGAGAAAGCGGGAACGCCCTTTCGGGTCCTCCTCTGCCTTCCCCAAACACCTCCCCCACTCACTGGAGAAGACTACGGCCCCGAGGGACCGCGAAAGGTCCCAGGCGAGATGCACCGAGTCAGCGAGAACGGCGTGGCATTGCGCGCACTGGAACACGGCGCACCTCTTGGGCTGCAGCCACGATGGTAGCCGTGGGCCGGGCGACGGCTCCTCCGTTCCCATTCCTGAGGGACCGAGCGGCGAAGACCCCTTCACCACCTGTGTGTCCCACTCCATGGAAGTCGTAAAAGAAGTTTCGTCAGTTGTCTCAGTGCCATCACAAAAGTCACTCTCCCGCGGCTTTGCAAAGCGCGAGCGATGCCGCCGCGAGCGAGCCGCCATCTTTCTGCAGCCACCGCCTAGATTTCGAATGTGCACCAAGCCCCTCCCCAAGCCCGGCTCCTGAGTTTTCATTGGACACCGAGAGCCAGTGCCCTGCAGCTCAGTCATTGCTTGGACACGCCCTTCGGCGCCTAAACTTGGGTGAGGGATGGGGTAGAACGTGTATTTGATGAGGAATCAGCCTTTCTATTGGCCAACGCCAGAAAACCCCGCCTTCAATATTTTGTTAACCAATGGAAGTGCAGCTTTCTTAATTTAAACTGTCTGTAGACCTTAGCTTGGTCAACGCTTACGGTGGCGCCAGAGTTTTGAACGGTGCTGGTGTGGCCGGAGGATACCCTACGTGGTTTCCTGCATTACGGATCGCGATGACCGTCCCCTCACTGGAGGAGCTGGACTCGTTCAAGTACAGTGACCTGCAAAATTTGGCCAAGAGTCTGGGCCTCCGGGCTAACCTGAGGGTACGGAGCCGGTCGCTCATGATGGTAGCGGGTGGGTTAGGCTGAGCAGCCTTTGGGAGACGCGGTGGGAGGGGACCAAGCCAGACCCTGGGGGGTTAAATTTGGTTCCTTAGTATTCCTCCATCTGCAAAGTTGGACGGAAAGAGAGCCATAGGCCTTGACTTCAAAAAGGTTTGTTTGACTTGCTTTTACCCTGTGATACTTTCTAGGGCTGTGACTACGAATGCAGGCCCAGAAAGCTCAAGGAACTCTGGCTCCAATGCCGATTAATGTTAGGCAGTCGCGGAAATAAGTGCCTAGACTTTTGGAAAATGCAAACAGTAACACTTATGTAAGTTGTAATAGCGCCCAAAATCTCTTGCTACTTTATTGAGGGACATGAAAGAAAGGATGGTTTTTAGGGCCCCTCCCCGCCGTGGACACATTTCAGCCTTGATCTGAAATGATCGTTCATTTATTGATCACTATTGTGGTGGTGTCTTCAAACCAGTAAGGTCTTTGATTCCGAGATTGCAAAATATTGTGGGAAAGTATGGGGATTCAGTTTGGGATTGGGTTTCTATAGTAGATTCTGATGGAATTTCCCCACGTAATGCTAATGTATACTCTGGAGATTTGTTCTTCCGGCTATGATATTTACACTGAGTGAATGCCTAAATCAGTCATTACAAATGTTTTTAAATGATTTAAGTAAAATAATTAATGCCCATCCGTTGGGGCTGAAAAAGGAATGTCTTTGGAGATAATTCTGAGCTATGATCTTTAATGGTTCCCAAATATTTCATAAACAAAGCCTAATACCTTAGCTTAAATCCCTTAGGCTTTTCCCAATCTAGCTAAAATCTTTTATCGGAGACTGCATCCAAACTGGAGTGGTGGCTGAACACTTGGTACCTTTGTCCATCTTTGTGCCTTTGCTAATTTTGACTTTTTGGCCTCAGATCCCCTTCTCCCTCTGTCTTTTTCTACAAGAATAATTTCCAATTACTCTTCACAGTCCGGCTGAACTGTCCTCACTGACTTGGTGCCCCATACCTTCCTCTTCATTCCCTTAGCCACAGTTCCACCAAACCAATAATTCCAGGACCCCTCTGTGCTTTTAAACAGTTTAATTTCAAGTACTGTCTTTGAGCACTTGCAAGATTCCACCTGTACTCTGATTATTTGTGTATGTGTGTTATCTTCTCTACTAAAAGTTAAGTTCTTTGAACAGGGATTTCATCTTTCCACCTTGGAAGTCTACAGTACTAATTGTGGTACACTTTATACAGGAGATGCTGAACAGTCATTCAGGCTATTATTTATACTACATTTTGGCAGTGCACCAGAAGAGTTACAGTGGAGGCTTCCTACCTGAATTTGGAGCTCTCCTAGCAGTAAGGCCCCACAGCCATTTGCATCTCTAAGGAGCGATTGCAGGTTTAGATCTTTTTCTGACAGTCCCACCCATCATTGACTCTTTAAGCACCCCGTCTGGGGTAGTCAGTTATCTGTTTTCTTAGAGGTGGAGTAGTACAGTATTTGTCACTACAGACCCTGCTGCCTGCCTAGCACACGACATATCCGGCATGTAGTAGGTGTCAAATATTTGTTAAGTGGTACTATTTCTCAGACAAATTTGATCATACAAGGCTTTATTATAGCCAATTATAAAAAGACACCTTGGAGACAGAAAATTCAACTTGGGCTAGGTATTAAATTACATTAATGTATTGTTAATTTTGTTGTGTTTGATAATGGTATTGTGATTATGTTTCTCTTTTTTTAAAGTCCTTATCTCTTGGTAATACATACCAAGTGTTTACAGGTAAAATGTTATGGTGCCTTGGATTTGCTATAAAGTATTCCAGAAGAAGGGGATTAGATGAAGAACAGCAGAATGTTATGATTGTTGAAACATGGGGGTTCATTACACTAGTCTCTACTTTTGTATACATTTGAAATTTTCCATAATTAAAATGTTTTAAATTATGTACAGTTGGTATAAACCAGCAGCTCATTAAATCAGTTGCCTTTTTAAATTCGAAGTACTTAGCAAAAAATGAATAAATTGCTCTAAGCAATTATCAAGATTCGATATTTTTAAAAATGTTATCACCAGCATGATAACATTCTAAATAAATTTAGAAGAGAAAATAGTAGCTCTTTTGATTGAGATACTGCTATTAATGGTAAAGCAAAATGAGGGAGTCAGATACTTTTATTGTGTGGCCACTGGTTTTTTCTCTTCTCACTCACGCCCTCACTCTCCTCGCCGGGCTTAGATTACAAAGACTGTCTCTGTTTTCGCCTTCTTGCAGCTCTCTTCCCTCACCTGGCAAAACTCTAAGCCTGATTAAACTCATCTGTGTGCTTAATCCTTGCTTATACCTAACCAGCTGATCCTGGCTGGAAAAACAAAAATCACCTAAGTTTGTTGGCCGAACTTAATTTAAATTTATGAGCATAAATTGTAAAAATGCCATTTGATTCTCTCACACTTCTCGGTAGTCATTAACTTTTCCATTTTTAAGGACAATTACTTCATATCTTGTCACCTCAGATTGGCTCCCCTTTCCTCACTTGATGACTTTTCCTCAAATGCCATGGAAAAACAGATGCAGGCAGCTGAGAATTGCCTCATCTTTCCACTCCCAAACACACCAGACAGCCTGCACCTGTCTCTGCCTACTCTGCCTCCCTCCTGTTATTGTAAAAGGCTGTGCCTAAAGGCAGCCTTGCCATTTGTGCTGGAGAACCTGTTCCTTTCTCTGTGGTGCGCTCCTGTAATGTCTTTCTCCTGCATCACTGTCTCCCATTCTGCTGGCTCAGTTCTGTAATGCATACAATCAAGTCTTTAACATCACCTATTTTTTTTTTAATGTTTTCACTTACAGCTTATAGTCAATATCATATTAGTTTAGTTTCAGGTGTACAGCATAGAAGTTAGACATTCATATAACTTACAAAGTGATATCACCATCTTTAAAAAAAGAAAAAGAAGGATGACTGCACATCCTTCCTCTACTGCCCAATTTCTCTGCTCTTTTCCAGTGAAATTACTCTTATTGAGGCAGCCATGCCCTGCATCTTACAAAGCTTGTGGTCTATCTCTTTGGTATTTCCTTTTGTTCTGCCTTACTAGCACTTTTTTCTAGTATCCTTTGCTGATCTTCCTCTGCCCAATATCTAAACTTGGAGTGCCCCAGAGTTCTCTCCTTGACATTTTCTCTAACTGTGCTTTCTCCCGTGTTGACCTTATCCATTCTTCGAGGACTAATGACTCTGAAATCCACCTCCTTCAGTGGGACCTCTCTCCTGAGCTGCTGCCTCGTGTATTTAAGTGCATCTTAAACAGCTTAGTCAGTTCAAAACAATGAAGATCTCTTCCCAGTCTCAGTAAATGATTCAGACCTAAGATCACTCTCCTTCCTCCCTTCACTGTTCACAACCAACCATCCTTGTCAGCTCTTCCTTGGAAGTAACTTGAAATCTGAACCTCTGTGCACGATCTCCAGTGCTACAAACCTGGGTCATGGCACCCTTGTTCCTTGACCACTGCTTCGGCCTGTCCGATCCTCTCCTTGCCTCTATTCTTGCCTCACAAGAGCATCCCCTTGGTAGTTAAGAGCTATTGGAAACTTAGAATGTGTCCTTTTTCTTCTGTTCAGTGCCCTCCAATGGCTTTCCCTGTACTTAAAATAAAATCCAAACTCCTCTAAAAGTAATACAAGAAGCTTGGCTTGATCCTGATTTGAAGGGAAAAAAGAAAACAGCTGACGTTGGAGACAGTCGAGGAAATTTGATTATGGGCTATTAGAGGATATTAGGAACTCATTACCTTTCCTAGGTATGATCATTCATTTGAGGTTATGTAGGAAAGTATCTCCTTATTTTCAGGAGATGAGGCTGATATATTTAGTAGTAAAGTATCATCATGTCTGGAACTTATCTTCAAATAGCATGGTAAAAATATGTATTAATATAGAGAGAAAGCAAATATGAGACAATATTAACAATTATTGAATCTAGGTGAGGAATATGATAGTGTTTACTACGGTATTTCGGTAGACTTATTTTTTATAACAGCAAATTAATAGTAGGAAACGGACACTGCTGGCTGCGGCCCGTAGCCCTCTCCTGACCCAGGCCCTGGTCGCCTCTCCGACCACCCTGCCCTCCCCGTGCCCAGGGGTTCACCATGTGGCTTCTTTCTGTCCTTCACGTTCACCAACCCATCTCAGGGCCTCTGGGCTTGGTGTCCCTCTGCTTAGAATTCTCCTCCCTCCTGTCTTCACCTACTCTGTCTTCTGACTCATGTCATCTCAAAAGTCACACCTCTGAGAGGCCTCCCCTGACCATCCTAACTTGGGTAGCACACCCAATCTAGTTACCTGCTTTGTTTTTTGTTTCATAGCGCCTGGTGTCATATTTATTTTAGCTTACTCGGTTAATAGACAATTTCCCTACTGTTCCACTGCTCAAGGCTCCTGAAGGCAGAGACCTTGTCTCTTGTTCACCACTGTCTTTCCATTGTGTGAGATAGTGTTAAACACCATAAATGCTTGCGGAGAGAATGCATGAGTATGTGCTGATACTAACATCTCTACCTCCAGCTCAGCTTCCTTGAGCATCACCCCACATAATACAACCTGCTAGACGCCCTCACTTGGGTCTGCTGCAGGCACCCATTTCATCATTGTTATGTTGGGTGAGATTCTCATGATATTTCGAGGTGTTCTGGAAACCTGTATGACATAGAATTTATGACAATACTGTATTGTATACTTAAAAATTTGCTAAGAGGATAGGTCTTAGTTGAGTGCTCTTACCACCAAAAAAACCAAAAGGGCGTAGGAAACTGTTGGAGGTGATGGATCAGTTATGGCAGCGATGATGGTTTTATGGGTGTATACTTACCTCCAACATGTCAAGTTGTATACATTAAATATCTACAGCTTTGGTATGTCAGCCATACTTCAGTAAAGTGGACGGGGTAGGGAGAGATGTTAGCGTCAGAAGAACCAAGAATGCCTAAATTCCGCCCTGCTGATCGTCCCCTGCACAGAGAAGACCCCAAGAGAGGTTCGGGTATTACCGGAAAGAGGACCCGGCCCTGAGCCAGTCGATTTGCCCAGGGCTGGCCCGCTGGTAGTGTACAGGTTCTTGACTTTGTGCAGGAAAGATTTCACAAATTTAGATGATTTTTAGAGTATGTTTATTAATGTTGAGGACAGTGAAACAAGGGAGGACATAGCATAAAAGCAATGGGAGGGACTAGGTGGGGAAATGAGCCTAGGCTGGGCTACTTTGGCTCACTGAGAAATCAGAGAAAAGAAGCCTTGGGAAAGGTTCAGGTGTTAGCCCAAGACAAGCTGCCACTGCCCATTGCTCCCTGGTTGCAACTCTCATGGAGACCCTTAGAGTTTAGGAGACGCCATGCCTGTGCAGGAAGAAGAGAGGCAAGGGGGAAGTGCAGCGTGCTCTTAAGAGTGGGGGGCCTGTGCTGGGTCCTTTGTTTTTTTAGGGCTTTTAAAGGCTGGGAGTTTAGAGGAGGATCTCAATAGAATTTTCATCAGTTTTATGCAGATGTGCCAAAATGAGATTTACTTTATTCCCTTACCTTCATCTGTTGGGTGTGGTTGGCACAAATGGCACTAATTGGATTTCTGCCATCTGTCTCCCTGAACAGGGTGAGTTAAAGCTCTTTACCCTCTGGTTGGGGAGAATTGTAAACCATTTACTAAGTGTTCTTGGTTTAGGAAAGATGGGATTTACTGGATGGCTGCAAACTGCTTGATTAATAATCTGTCTCACTTTCCCTATTCCATTTGTCCTGGCTCACTAGCCTGTCTCACAAGGAACAAAGGCAAGTAGAAAATAAAGTACCGCTTTATTACTAGCTGGCATGGTGCAGAGCATTCTGGTAAAATGGGCTGGAGCATGTGCTTCACACCCTAAACACAGCCTCTTCTGTCCCCTAAAGCCCAAGCCAAATCAGGATCTCTGCCATTCTCTCCTGGACACAAGGCCAATGATAAATGTGGCCAGAGAAGCACTGAACCTGCTGGCTGGGTCGCCTGAGAAGGGAATCTGGGGGTCAACCACAGGGCTGCGTGAAAGTGGGGGAAAAGAGAACTAATATGCATAAGAAAACATCAATCAGATTAGTATTCCTCTTTTAGGAAGGTACAAGTTTTCCTAGGGTGGGAAGAGAAACTTGGAGCTCCATTCCCAGGGGCCTTGTAACCATCCCCCTCTGTAAGACCTCCTCTGCTCCCCTTTGGCACTCCGCAAATTAGGGACCCCCACCACACTCCACCAGAAATCTGGGTGTAGCACAGTTTCCCTGTTCCTATGGACAACCCCCATATTCGTGCGTTAACCTCCTGGGAAGGTTTTGAGTCCATCCGTACTGCCCCAGCCATCTTCCAGCTCAGGCCACAGTCATCTCTGGTTTCCTGCAACAGTCCCTTGGCGGTTTCCCTGTCTTCCCCTGACCCTCCTCTGATGCATCCTGCACACTGTTCAGTGAGAGTGCTCATTCTGAGCAAGGCCAAGTGCCTAAAGCAGAGTGTCCTGCTGCAGACTCTTCAGAGATTGCGCTTTACCCTGAGGGTGAAGATTATATACTTAAAAACCTTACAAGACCTGGTGAGCTCAGGCCCCTGCCCACTTTCCCAGCATTCTCAGCATCTCCTTCAGTAGCTCCACACTCCAGCCATACCAAACTGTAGTTTCTCAAACTTCATGCACATCCTGGCCTCCCCATGCTATTTCTTTACCCTTTTCCCTACGTTCCACTCTCTCTCAATCATACTTCAGACCTCAGCAGCTAGAGACATCTTGTCTTTGTCTTAGAACTGGCGTATTCACTTACCTGCTGAAGTCTCTACCCTACTGAACAAGCACACCTGTGTTCTCTCACAACATCCTGAGCTTCCTCATGCTGGCACTGACCCCATTGCATTGTCATTGCATTGAAGTCATTCTGACTTCACTTTGCTGTGAAATCTGTGAGGGCAGAGACCAGTTCTATTTTGGTCTTCATTCTATTCCCAGAGCCTGCCCAAAGGACATTTGAATTCAAGAACAGGAGAAAATGTTCAGTGTATATGTCTTGCACATCTGATTCTTGGCTCTACTGTTAAGATCTTTAACTTTTCTGCAGGCAGACAAGTTGCTAAAAGCCTTGAAAGCCCACCTGAAAAAGCAAGCAAGAAAAGAAAACGAAAATCAGGTATGTAAAGTTTTTCATCACCCATTTAGCAAAACAATCACATTTAGTTAATAATAAGCACAATTAGTAATGCCATTTAAGACATGCTGGTTATTACCAAAGAGATCATTATTGGTTATAGTAAGTCCTTTCATTATAACTCTTGGGTAAAAATGGTAAAACTGCCTGGCAGCAAGTAGTCTGTTGAATAAGGTGTTCTTGTACAAATGCAAAAGTTAACTAGTTGCCAAAAATTGTAAGAGATAGTGTAATATGGATAGGGAAGGAAGTGGATTCAAAGTCAGAACAACCCAGGTTAAGTAGCAGCTCTATTATTTCTTCTTGTATGACCTGGGAAGCTCAAATTCTGTGATTCTTAGTTTCCTGCTCTGCTGTATTGAGTCTTGGAGAATCAAACAAAGTGAGGGCTGTGAAAGAGACTTGAACTGAAAATCTAACTTGCTCTTCTCTGTCTGTATATTCTCTGTAACTACATTCCACGCTGTAAACATTTTTAAACTTTCAATATTCAAGATTTTTCTGATTCCAAGTGTTAACTAAAAATACAAAAAAAATTAATTTTCAATTAATTAGAAGTTTTTACATCAAGTAAATAAATTTATATATGCACACACACATGTGGCTCGGGGGGCTGGGCATTGTTCCACAGACCAAAAGGTCTGCAGTTTGATTCCCAGTCAGGGCACATGCCTGGGTTGTAGGCCAGGTCCCTGGTTGGGGGCATGCAAGAGGCAACCAATTGATGTTTCTCTCCCTCTCTTTGCCCCTCCCTTCTCCCCCCGAAAATAAGTAAACAAAATCTTTTTAAAAAATAAATGGTTAAGGATACATGATTATAGTGCTATCTGAAATCAAGATTTCACTTTGGATTGGAATTGATAAACTAAATTAATAATGATCTATCGTATTTTAAATTCAACATCTCAGGGGCCATTCCACTTTGAAACAGTTTCAAAATTCACTCCTACAGAATTCCTAAGTGGTGAATCTGTCAATATTGAGCTTAGACTGATGGAAAGACCTGCCAAACAAAAAGTATATTTATCTAACTAAGGCTACAGAAGGACTCAGAACTGTCCACATACATGGCAAAGAGATCATTAATGTCCCCAACGATAGACAAATGAGTAAGCTTCCAGACCCCCAAATCATCACCGGGGGAGTGCACAGGTTTGGTTCACATTTGAGTGACTGTGACATTGGGCCTTATTCTCCCCCTATAGGTCAGCCTTAACTATGAGCTGGAGTAGCTCTATGTGCAGGTTAGTCTGGCTATGTGCTGCGGACTCCCTCATTCAAATAAGTGTACCTCTTCAGTCTTGGATTTAGACAAGTCTGTTGATAGTTACATGATGGTGCATTCAGGAATGAACACTCCTTCCTTGATCACTGTCAGCCTCCCAGATTAACATGGTTAATGTGTGTGGCGTTAAAAGAAGACATCTCTGGGAGTTATACTAACAAGCTTCTAAACCGAGTATAGCACCTGTCCTGTACTGTGCTGCTGTGGGGGTCAGGATTGGGGAGGAATGAATAAATACATTAAAAGTGTCCCTATAGGCCCTAGCCTGGTAGTGCAGTTGGTTAGAGCGTCTTTCCAAAATGCCGAAGTTGTGGGTTCCATCTCCGGTCAGGGCACATGCAAGAAGCAACCAATGAGTGAATGCACAACTAAGTGGAACAACAAACTGATGTTTCTCTCTCTTTCTCTCTCCCTCCCTCTTTCTCTAAAATCAATTTTTTAAAAACCTGTCTGTATATTCCAGTAATATGTGGCATAACCCAAAGGTACCAGTTTTGTTTTGTTTTTTAGCAGAATTTATTGGGGTGATGTTGAAAAGGTACCACTTCTATAGTGGAAAGTTTCTTCTTTTTCTTTTCATTTTCTTGCCAACGACTGTCCAGGAAATAGGGAAGTCAGAACCAGATAGCATCTTTCTACTCTCATGCAGATATTCCTACTCCTTGGCAGTTTTGCTCACCTATTCTCATCTCTCATCTGTTGACCTGCCATTTGCTTTCTTTGCTGTTGTTGTTTGGAGAAGAGTTGTTTTATAATTTTATAATTACTTTATTGAGGAATGGTTGCTTTCTGATGTTCACTGTCTTGTCTTTCTCATCACCTCGTGTCCTGACCTTATTTTGAGTAAATCGAAGGTTCACCTGGATGCACGTTACTACTTTTGCCTCCTGGTTCCTTAACCCCCGAGACTTTCGTTTCTACTCTTCACCAGCCATCACTTCTTTGAGCACATTCCGGACCTTATATCCCTTGGAACTATACTAAGTAATATTTCACCTCTAACTAAAACCTTCTGCTCTCTCTAAGCCGCCTTATTCTTTAGCTTCCAACACATTTACTTTACAGTGTGGTTCTCAACCCAGGTTGTGTGGCAGAATCATTTGGGGAGACTCATTTTTAAAGATACTGGTTGGCCTCCCCAAACCCCAGGTCTCCCCAAAACCCAGGCCAACTAAATCATTCTCAGCGGATGGGGTCCAGGTACCATAATGAAATGGACTGAAAAGTAAGGATACAAAGCAGTCTACCCCCTACTTAATGTGCAGGGTACCAGGTATCTACTACCATCTAAAATATTAGGTTTCTCTGTAAGGAAATTAAATGGTTATCAAGCAAAAACCTTCTGGCATTCAAGGACCCCCTGCGCGATAGCCTCCTCCCCACCTAAAGGGCATAGTAGGTCACGTCCCACCAGATAACAAGCGTTCACACATTCAAGTACCTAATGAGGTTTTAGATCTGAAATATGAATAAAAGACCAACAGTTCTAGACATTTGAGGAAAGCCTGTAGTCTGAGAGACTTTAAGATAAACAAAAAGAAAAAGATTACCCTAAAGAAAACAAAAGCTTTTAAAAAAAAAAAAAGAAGAAGAAGCAAAAAAAAGCCCTACGCCCTGACTGGTGTGGCTCAGTTTGTTGGGCATCATCCCACAAAACAAAAGGGGGGTCGCAGGTTGGATTCCCAGGCATGGCACACACCTGGGTTGTGGGTTCAGTTGCTGGTCAAGGTGCTTATGAGACCAATCGATGTTTCTCTTCCTCTTTCTCCCTCCCTTCCCCTCTCTCTATAAATATAAATAAATAAAAATAAATATTTTTTTAAAAAGAAAAGCCTTACAATAACTTACTGATTTATCAGCTTTTGGAATCCAGCTACACAGAAAAGGCACAGATGATTCAATTAAGGTTACATAATTGGCTGTAAATGTTATCAACTTGGAAATTTAAAAAGAATAGATGACAGAAGTTGAGAGGTGAAGGGTCATATAAGGATACTAAGAAGTTTATAAGCTAGATGTATTATATATAGTTGTGGAACAAGATTTAAGGTCGTAAGTATGTTTAAAACTACAAAGGTAACTAATAGAGTGACTACCAATGGTATGATTCTGTTCAAAGAAGATGGGGAGACAGGTGGTGCAAATGAGCTAGTTTCAGCATATCATAGGCACTAAAAATAGCTATTGAAAATATAAGTGAAAAAAAGAAACCGTAAGTGAATATCTCATCAGCAAATCACTGATGATGTATAAATAATCACCTGAAATTAAGCCTGAGAAATAAAGAAGGCTAGGCAGAGAACCAATTGCTTTTCAGTATAATCTCATTAATATTTGATTTTTATATTTTTAGCCATGAATTTTTTTTTTTACTTTATTTATTACCAAATTAGTTTATTTTTAAAAATTAGAATTATGACCCTGGCTGGTGTGGCTCAGTGGATCGAGCGCTGGCTTGTGAGCCAAAGGGTTGCTAGTTCAAATTCCTGTCAGGGCACATTCCTGGATTGTGCACCAGGTCCTCGGTTGGGAGTGTATGAGAGGCAACTGGTTGACATATCTCTCACACATTGATGTTTCTCTCCTTCTCTTTCTCCTTCCCTTCCCTTCTCTCTAATAAATAAATAAATATATAACATTTTTTTAAAAATTAGAACTTATGAATACAAAAATTATAAAAATACCTAAAGCACATCAAGTTTTCCTTTATAGTCTCTAGGTAAGAAAGCTTCCCCACCCATTAATGATAATAAATTCACCTTTTTTTTTTTTTTTAAGATGTTATTTATTTTAAGACAGAGAAGAAAGGAGGGAGAAAGAAAGGGAGAGAGACATCTATTGGTTGCCTTCTTGTACATGCCCCGACCCTGGTGATAGAACCCACAACCCAGGCATGTGTCCTAACCAGGAATCAAACGGGCCTTTCGCTTTGCAGGACAGCGCCCAACCAACAGAGCTATATCAGTCAGGGCTATTCACCTGCTTTTTTCTAGTGCTTTTATAGTTTGATCTTTTACATTTAAATCTTTAATACATTCAGATTTCATTTTGATGTGAGAGAACAATCATGTTTTATTGCCCCTCCCCACAAAAATATTAAAAATAATTTTGTCAGTAACGTGTTGAATAATGAATCCAACCTTCCCCTATGAATATGAAGTTAAACCATTATCATGCAATGATTTATTACATTAGCAGGTGTGTTTGAGATGTTCTGGTACCTGTACCACACTATTTTGATGATGTAGCTCTTATTTTTAAATTGATTTTTAGAGAGAGGGATTGATTGTTCTACTTATTTATGCATTCATTGGTTGCTTCTTGTATGTGCCCTGACCAGGGATTGAACCCGCAACTTCTTTACTTTTAGTTCATGGTAGTGGGAGTGCCATTCTTACCTTACTCCCTTTCACCTTTGACAAGTTACTTTGGACTCTGTAAGCCTCAGTTTCCCTATATGTGAACTGTGGAAAATATTAGTACTTGTTTCATACGCTTTGAGAAATGAATGAGATAATCTATATAAGATGTCCAATAAAGTTGTGATACTGTTATAGTATACTGCCTGGCACATAGCATATGTTCAACAAATTAATGCACTTCTAATAATTTGCTTATTTACTCAAAATAATGTTGAATGCTTTCCTAGCCTAGTTTTTTAGCCTGGATTGTTAAATGCCATTTTTTTTGTTTGTTTGTTTTTTGTTTTTTGTTTTTAACACTCTACATATGTTATCCTCCTTGCCTGTAGTTTAGTGCTCAAGAGTTGTAAAAATTATCCTTCGCCTAGGTACTGTATGTTTTTTATTAAGTCTAAATGCTGATTCTTTCTGAGCGTTATACCTCTATGCACAGAACATGGCAGGTTAATGTCTCTTTTCAGGATGAAAGTCAGACTTCTGCATCCTCGTGTGATGAGACTGAGATACAGATTACCAGCCAGGAGCAAGCTGAGAGGGAGTCAGCGGGCTGTGTCACCAAAACAAGGAGAAGGCGCAGGACTGCCCACAGCAATCCTGACTCCCGAGTGAATGGACACATGCAAACTGAAAATAAGCCACGACCTGTGCCAGAAGTGGTATATTTTCTTTTACTTTCCTTATGCTGTCAGGTGGTGGTAACCACTGTGTGTTGTAAGCTCCATGAATGCACAGACCCACTTGTAAGCTGCTCATCGTCATGCCCCAGGTGCTGGTGCTCAGGAAGCACTTATTAAGTATTAAGCACAAAGTAAATATCTGTTGAAGAAATATGAACCTTCATTAAGTGTTTACTTAAGTGGGGTGTAGTAAATTCAAAGGCAAGAAAAACCAGCATTAAATATTATTTTTCTCTCTTTCCTATCCTGTCCCAGGCCATGGGATTGCAGGGGTTTCCCTCACAATACATGGTCCTAGTATCTATTTTCTAGCTTTGTACAGCCCCTTAGTCATTAGCTGATCTGGGTCTCTTAGTGTTAGTTTCTCATCCCGAAGGGGACGCAATGTTACCATTTATGCCTTCCAGTGACCCCTAGTATCTCCTAGTCCCAAATTCATACTCTGACACTTGGTGAGGCAGAGAACCAAGTCTGCACACAAAAATATTACTTTCCTACTTTTCTTTAACTCCTTCCCCCCCTCAGCTTGGTACCTAGTTTTTGAAGGGAGTGATTGCTTTTTTAAAAAATATCTGACTATAAGCAATGTTTTTACATTTTTTTTAAGGATTTTATTTATTTATTTTTAGAGAGGGGGAAGGAGTGGAGAAACAGAGGGAGAGAAACATTGATTGTTTGCCTCTCTCACACCCCCTACTGGGGACCTGGCCCACAGCCCCGGCCTGTGCCCTGACCAGGAATCAAACCAGGGACCTTTTGTTTCGCCGGCCAGTGCTCGGCCCACTGAGCTACAGCAGCCAAGGCAATGCTTTCAAATTTTTTAATGATATATTTTCAAATTGAGGTATAATTGATATATGAGATTACTTTAGTTTCAGGTGTACAACCTCATGATTCGATCAATGTTTTTATGTATTGCAAAATGAGCACCATATGTCTAGATAACATCCGTCATCACACACAGTCACAAAAATTTTTTCTTGTGCTGAGAACTTTTAAGGTACACTCTCTTAGCAACTTTCAAATGTGATAACATCTTACTATTTAAACCACTTATTTTCCTTTTAAAATATGTAGCAGAATCATTCAGAGATAAAAGCAAGTGATCCCACTGAGTTCCAGAATCAAGAAAAGCAGGAAAACCAGATTCTCAGAACTGCTGCAGAAGTTCCTTCTCCACCAGATGAAAGCCAAGGAGTTGAGAATACAGTGTCCTCAGGAAAAGGTAGAACAAATGATATGCCAAATAACTAAAAAATCCAAAATTGCACGGGCAGCCATTGCCTTACATTCCTGTGATTGCCTTAACAAAGTGCTACAAGCTGAACGGCTTAAAACAACACATTTGTTCTCTCGTAGTTCTGGAGGCTGAATGTCTGAAATCAAGGTGTCAGTAGGGCCACGCTCCTCCTAGACCCTGGAGAGAATTTTTCCTGGCCTCGACCTACCTTCTGGTGGTGGCAACTGACCCTTGGTGTTTCTTGGCTTGCAGCTGCATTCCTCTAAATTTCGGCCTCTGTTGTATGACATTCTCCCTGTCTTCTTCAAAGGACACCAGTCACATTGGATTAGGGTTTCCACCCTAATGACCTCCTCTTAACTTGATTACATCTACAAAGACCCTATTTCCAAATAAAGTTATATCACAGTTATTGGAGGTAAAGACTTGAGCATATCTCAATAGAGTTTAACCCACAACACCATTATATTCAACTTCTAAGGGTTTGACAATTAAAGCAAAAGTTGGAACCAAATGCAGTAGGCCATCAGATCATCTTTATTAATTACAGAAATCAGAATAAGAATGGTAGCTAGGAAGTTTGGGGAAGCTGAGCTCTCCTCAGTGATGAGGAGAACCTGCGTTGTGTCCATTAGCTCCTTCTGGCCTACTCCAGGCACAGGTGCAAAGACCTGTTTGCCTCTTCAGCCAGGATATTTAAATGGAGTTGCAAAGTTTATCTTCCCGTGGTGTGACCTTTTTTATTATAATAAATGTATGTTCTCCTTAGACTCTATCCTCCCCCAAACCTCTCCCATAAACTTTCTCAACTAAAGGCTTATTTCAGTAAGACCAGGAGACTTTCATCCTTATATACCTCACGGGACTCGGCACTTTCTGGTTCCATTGCTCGGGGAGCCTGCCAGCCGCAGCAGTGTCCCAGGGCGCGTGCCACCCCAGCCCCTCTGCCTGGGCTGGTGTCTGCCAAGCGGTTAAATGTGGAATTTCTAATGTTGAGCCTCCGCATTTTCCCCACAATTTTGCATTTCTTAGTAAAGCTAGGCCGAGGAGGCCAAGGTTCTGATTCAGTAGGTGGAGTCTGGTAGTCTGCAGTTTTTAATAAGCACCCCAGGTTTGACACTTCCGTTGTCTTCTGGTGCATATGCCTCATATACCCATTTTGAAATCATGATTTTCAGATCGTTGTTAGGAAATATGACAGAGTCAGAAGTGGGTGTGGAATTACAAATATCTTCTATTCCACCAATTATTTTATCCAGGGGACATAAGTCTAGGACTCAGTTTTGATGTCATAGAAAAACCGAGTGTGAACCCATTAAATCACGTTTGCCTAATGAAACATAGGCTGTTTGAAAAAGAAAAATCTGATCATGTAGTTAATTTCCAGTAAAAGAAAATTTTTAAACTTTTTTGATGTAATTTCAGACTTAAAGTTGCAAAAATAGTATCAAGAATTGCTATGTATCTTTCACCTACATTTCCCAAATGTTACCACTTTACTACATTTTTTCCTCTGTTTATATTTATGTACATATATATACACATATATGTATAGTATACACTTTTTTTTTCTGAACTATTTGAGAGTGAGTTGCAGATACGTGTCCCTTTACAAACCTAAATGCTTCAGTGTGTATTAAAAACACAAGGACTGTCACAAATGTACAGAGTATAAAAAGTTCATTGATGTGGCTTCGTATTCTACATCGCAACTAACCTTTAGAAACTACTATTTGTCAAGTTACAGTACAGTATCAAAGAAGAATATGCACAATTATCTGAAAAGGCTATTAAAATACTCTTTCCTTTCAACCACACATCTGTATGTGGCAAGATTTGTTTTCACATATGTATATTTCAACCAAAACAACATATCGCAACATTTATCTGTAGAAGCAGAGAATCCAAATGCCTTTTATAAGTCTAACATTAAAGAAATTCTTAAAAAATGTCACTTTACTATTTTTGTTAGAAATGTAATGGCGATATTGTTATTTTTAATAAATCAAATATTTTTAAGTGTCTAGCATATATTGATTGATATAACTAATATACATGAAAAAAAGTATTCTTTCGGGCCCTTAATAGTTTTTGATACTACAAAAGGATTCTGAGACTAGATGTTGCATCAATTATTTCAGTAATTAAACCAATATAATTCCATCAATTATATCTCTTAAAGGAGACATAATTAAATTAAATCTCAGCTCATCCTTTGCAGTTCATTGTCATCTTTCTTTACTTTAATCTGCACTATTTTCTCAGTTTTCCTTTATCTTTTAGGGTGTTTATTTTAAGGAAGAAGATAATTTTTCTTTAAGATTTTATTTATTTATTTTTAGAGAGGGGAAGGGATGGAGAAAGAGAGGGAGAAAAACATCAATGTGTGGTTGCATTTTGCATGCCCCTTGCTGGGGACCTGGCCTGCAACCCAAGCATATGCCCTACACTGGGAATTGCACCAGCGACCCTTTAGTTCGCAGGCCCATGTTCAATCCACTGAGTCACACCAGCCAAGGCAGGATGTTGACATTTTTAATATAGGCAGGTTTTTTGTTGGGTGGAGGGGTGGGGAGTGGTCCTCTGTTGTCTTATGTGCTGATATTTAGATTCAGATCATGCACTTACGGGTAGATTCCCACAGAGTGATGTTGTGTCCTTCAAAGCTATCGCCCGAGAAAGCACAGGTGTTAGTTTGTCCTATGACTAGTCATGTTAACTTTCATTACCTGCTTATGGTGGTGTCTGGTAAGTTGCTTCTCTGTAAAGTTACTATTTTTCGTTTTTCTTTTTTCATTTTCTTTATAGAGAGAGGAGAAGAAAGGGAAATTTGAGTGTGAGAGAAACATCCATGGGTTGCCTCTCACATGCCCCCAACCAGGGACCTGGCCTACAACCGAGGCACATTCCCTGACTGGGAATCGAACTGCCAATCTTTTGGTTTGCAGGCTGATGCTCAATCTACCAAACAAAAACCACAGCAGCCAGGGCTAAAGTTACTATTTTTCCATTTTTAATTAGTAAGTATCTTGTGAGGAGTGACTCTGACTCTGGAAATATCCTTTTTTTTTTTTCCACAGAGCTTTTCTCTCTGGTTTTAGAAACATGGTCCAAGCAGAAGCCCCTGTATAGATGCAAAGGACCTGGGGAAATATGTCGGAATGCTCATGGTGTTTCTTAGGCTGGTGGGATTATGTGGTTTTTATCATTCTAGTTATAATAATATATTTAAAACCAAAGTTCTGAAAAAAGTTTTTCTTAATTTCTGGTACAACTTCTTTACCAGGCAGCATAAATTGTGTGCCTACTTGAAGCAAAATGAGCTAAAATTTTAGTGATGCTATAACTAATTTTTTGTGCTCCCTGTCAGCCGTTTCTCCCACGACCTTGGCAGAGCCTATCGCCAGAAAATGCTCGTGTTAACTCTCAGACATTTCTTAATGGCAGGAATTTGTTGATATCTTTTCATTAGTTCTGTATCTTTGTATTCAGGTAATGAAGATTCAAAGATACCTTCAGAAAGAAAAAAGTCTGCTTACACAGAGGGGTTTTCCAAATCTGGAAAAAATAAAAGAATTGCAAACACTACTCCAAGTAAGTTTTGCACGCAAAGAAATACAAAGTGACAACGGGCCCCCTCCCGCTGACGTCTGAGAGTCAGTGTACTGTGACAGCTAAAAGCTGGGGTGCGGAACTGGGGTTGGCATCTGCCTTCTCTCATTTTCCAGCTGTGAGACCTTGGGCAACTTACTTATCCTCAGTAAACCCACTTCCTCTGTTAAAAATGGTAATGGTTATACTGCCTACTTCATCAGATCGATGTATAGATTAGTTAAGACTATTTTTCGTCTTCTGATTACCTAGCACAGTAACTGGCATGTAGCAAGTATTTGATAAATATCTGAGAATGAATGTCTGTAAAGTACTTGGCACAATGTCCACCTTGTAATAAATTTCCTTTTTTAAAAAAAATAATAAGTGTAAGGGACTCCATTTTTGGACAAGTAATTCTTCCCTATTGCTAGGCACATAGAATAGTGATTGAATGCTTAGTATGTGTGTGTGTGTGTGTGTGTGTGTGTGTGTGTGTGTGTGTGTGTATGAAAATTAATATACTTAATTAAAATATTCTCTTTTTAAATTGATTTGAGAGAAAGATCGATTTGTTGTTCCACTCATATAAGCATTCATTGGTTAATTTTTGTATGTGCCCTGAATGGGGATCAAACCCACAACCTTAGCACATCTGGAAGATGCTCTAACCAACTGAGCTACCTGGCCAGGGCAAAATATTCTTAATTAGAATATACATATATACTTAATTGATTAAAACAGCACAGAGCTGGGGTCAGCAGACTATTGAGCTAAGAATGATTTTTATAGTTTTAAAGGGTTATGTTAGAAAAGAATATGAAACAGACCATACCACTTGTGGCCACAAAGCCTGAGATAATTATTATCTGCCCTTTCCAGAAAAAGTATGCCAATGCTTGGCATAGAACTCAGCATTTTAAAACGTCAAATTTTTTATTAAATAATGCCACGTGATTAATTGCTGAGGTGAGAGGACAAATCTGTTGTTATGCTCTGGACTAAACCAAAATGTCAGTTAGCAGTGAAATGGACAATGGAGAGATGGTGGATGTTTGATGATTTTAGGATATGTTTTGTCCCTGAGTTTCAAAAACTAAATGTTTCAAAATTAAATCTTGGCCAAGAGGATGTTGAAATTGAATGCCAGAGATCCAGAAGAGAAAATAAGTTTTAACAGAAAAACAAAGCAAAGATGAATGAATGGATTTTGTTTTATTATTAATTTTCATATTTTGTGGAACATTCTAGACTTTAAGAAGCTTCATGAGGCTCGTTTTAAGGAAATGGAGTCCATCGATCAATATATTAAGAGAAAAAAGAAACATTTTGAACAACACAATTTACTTAACGAACTGAAGGTAATTATGTTCTTAATGGAACTAAAATATCTTGGGGGGGGGTTGTTGGTTTGTTTGTTTAATCCCTACCAATGTCTTTTTTTTCCATTGCTTTTAGAGAGAGAGAGAGAGGAAGGGAGGGATGCATGGGGGGTGGGGAGAGAGAGAAAGAGAAACATCGATTAGTTGCCTTTTATACATTCCCCAACTGGGGTTGAACCTCAACCTAGTATGTGCCCTGACCAGGAATCGAACCCACACCCTTTCAGTATATGAGACAACACTCTAACCAGATGAGCCACACTGCCCAGAGCTAATATATTTGATTTTAATGTTATACCATGTATACACCATGGTTAATGCAACCAAATTTCTATTACTCCATTAGTGGAATGGATTTGTTTGAGTTTAATATATCTTTATTATCTCAATTTGCATTCTCCCATCATCAGAATTTTCAGAACCCTCCAGAGAAAACAACATGCCTTGCCTCACTATACAGAATGAATTCCAAAGTGGCAATTAATTGTTATGTTTCCCACATTTGGACGTGGTACCTGTCACCTTTGTCGAGGATGGACGGATTTATAGCTGAAGACATATTCTGTCTCTCACCCTAAAGAAAAAGGGGTGACCAGCAGTGGCTCACTTAAAGGCTTTCAGTGATAACTGAGCTCCCGGGGCCTTCAGTCCAGGTCCTACAGGATTCTACTCCCAGGGTTGTGTCAGCAGAGCAGTGAGCTGATAACACCCTAGAAAGCTGATGCTGTTGTCTTACATGGTATCTGGTGTTCAGGGGGTGCCACATAGAGGCCTGGGAGATACTTATTTTAGAAGTTTTAATACTTAACCAACCACCTGCTATTTCTCAAACAGAAATTGAGGCAGTTTGTAGTATAACAACACAAAACAGTATAGTTGGTTTAGAAAAGGCAGAAAATGAGCTCTGTTAGGAGGTGCATTGTCTAATATATCAGTCACTCAGTTGAGTTTTGAGTAGTCTGATCCTGATGCCAACAGGAAAATGCTCTGGGTGATAAATTCTAAACAATAATTTTAAAAAGACAAGCTTCTTATTAAGAAGCTTAATCTTAGGTAATAAACATTCTTTTGAACAGTATTTATAAAACCGCCATAACACAGTTGAAGACACTGTTGATCAATCTTCAAGCAAACAGCAACAAAGCCAAGTCATACCTTTAAACATCTCCATTTCTTCATACTGATGGAAGAACGTGGGTGGAGAATCCTGAAAGATGTTTAGTATGTCCATAATACTTAAATATCAGTAAAGGCTAGGTATCATTATGTTCACAATTGAATTCTGGGACAAGACGCCCATGCCGACACCGTAGAACATAGACATTTAGCTTCTTTTTCTACATAGGCATGAGCTACTTGCAAATATGCCTTGGAAGCAGGGCCATTCGTTTTCCTTACCGTGAAGCTAGGTCTGCTTAAGTACTAGGTTGAAAGTCAAGCTTTCCATATGGCATAATATGGATGAGTTGGTTTTCCAGGGAACAGTAAAGGGCAGAACCACGGTCTCAATGATAAACTTGAGTGCAGCCTTGAAGATATGTTGAATAGATGAGTAGCTTATCTTATTTTTTTAGTGATAGCCACATCTGAATGAGTTTAGTTCTAAAATCCCACCGCACCACCATTATTTAAGGAATTGACCTGTCAGGTGGGTTAATTAGCATGACGTATTTGGGGACTAGAAAATAAAAACGAATACAGTGACTTCGCCATAGCCCATATGAAGTCTGAGGATTGGCCGTTTGGATAGTAATGATAGTGATAGTAATAACTGAGCAAAGATCCTAGAGAGAATCATCCTGGTGGTGACCAATCTTTCCTTGACTTTCATGATTCAAGAGGGGACACCCCATTGATTTGTTGCCAAATGGCCCTCTACAAAGATCAGAAACCTTGTAATATGAAAAAAATCCCAATTGGTATTTCTTTCATCATTGTTACATATAATTTATATGGTATGTGTCTTTATATATTATAATTGGCTGTTTTTCTTTGAATTTGCTTATTTTAAATTTTTGTACGTTTATGAGCCCTTATTCTACATTAATGATATATATTATATGTTACAAATATTTTCCCACAGTTTATCTTCCAAGATCAGGCACACTCAGAGTGGTATGGCCACAGAACCACAGTTTATCTTTTAACTATATTAATGGTGTCTTTTTACCTTGTAGAAGGTGTTTTTATTTTTAATTAAATCTATCCAACTTTTTCTTTTAAGATTCCTGAGTTTTTTTCATGCACTACCTGTCCCAAGATCATAAAAATGTGTTCTTATATTTCTATTTACTGTTTTTGTGATTTTTCCTTATGTTTATAACCCACATTTTTATTTTTGTGTATGATATGATTGATTTGCTTGCTTCGTTAGAAAAAGATTTTTATGGCTGCAAGAAAAGGAGGAATTGATTGGGTACTGTGCTGACAAAATGAATTAATGCTACCAGAGTCAGCAGTATAATGTTATACCTGAAACAAAGTCAAGAAGATTGGTTCTCAGTACAAGTAGAATCATTTACACATTATGTGGCGCTCAAAGATGCGGTGTTGATGGTCCTGGCACCAACTGTGAACTGCAAAGAGATACAGTGTGGAAAGGAATTTTAGGGCATATGTAGAAGACAGCATAAAAGGTGTGACTAAATACAACAGTATACCTCATACATCTAACCCGGGTTCTCAGCTTATGGTAAAGATGTATATTTACTAAATATTTGTTTTAAATTTGTCTCACAACATTAGCATCTCTGCTGCTTATATGTCAAAATGAGAAGTTAACATAATTCTCTTGTTTGTATTTTGTAGGATATAATCAGAATTTTTTTTATCCTTTGGCTTTCCATTGTGAATTTCAGTAGTCCTATCTCTGCTGTCAGTTAATGAAGTTACATGTCTTCTGCTTGCAACAGAGCTTAGACTAATGATAATAAACATTCAATTATTCTGTGTGCCTTGACAAAAGATAATCTAAGTGGAACTCTTCCCAGCCATTCCAAAGAGAGGATTTTCCTCCCTCCCTTTTGTTTAGGGTTTTTTTTTTTAAGAATTTTTTAAAACTATGGGGGCAGGTGGAGTAGGGGTAGAATTATTTGTAAATTCTACATGCTAATTATGTAATAGGTTCTTCTTTGAATTTGTATTAAATAAACCGTCTGTCATGCTCTCAAAGTCACCTTATGTCCGACAGAACCTGCTTATTCTCCCTTTCGGCCATACGATCTGTTTAAGCCACATTCTTTCTCTAATTAAAAAATACCTCAGTACTTGGGAGTCAGGAAAAGCTTTCTGTAACACATTACTCAGTACAACCAGAATTTACTGTTAAATTAGAATCACCATAACAGGTAGGAGAGGGGGAGGAAATGGGGAGGAAATGGGATAAATGGGGGTGCTGTTCTGTACTTTGTCAAGGAGACAATACTGCCTAAGGGGTCAGGCTTTAATGGTGCATTTGCCTTTCTTCAGAAGCAGCCCGTCACTAAGGACGTGGTGACAACTCCAGTTGGCCTCCAAGGAAGGCTCTCCATGGCTCGCACTCCTGCAAGCCAGCGGCATTCACGGGGCCGGGCCCAGGGCACTGCAGACCGGAGCACCTTGGGTGTGAAGGGGTCAGTCAAGCGCCCCACTCTCTCGGCAACTAAAATGAACGTCAGGTAAAGAGCTGCAGAAATGTGGTTGAGGACAAGGTCTCGAAGCTTTACAGCTTCTAATACATTTCAGGTGGACTATATCAATTATGTTTTCATGTTAATAAAAAAAGAATGAGAAAGAGGATCAGATCAGGGAAAAAGATAAGCACGTGGCTTTTATAAGTTCTAATCTTTTCCTTTAAATTTGTATTTGGTTTTCTTCTTTTATCCAACTTCCCAAGCTCACAATCAATTCATAAGTAAAGATATAAAATAAGCTGTATATTAATATTTTCCATTTTATTAATGTATGGCTGCAAAGATGCATAAAGAGAAATCTTTCCATTGACTTAAATACAAAGTTGAAGCTAAATTCCTATAGAAAATCTCTCAATGCAGTGAAATAAAAAATTGACATGTCCTAAAGTATAAACACTGTACCCGTTAGGCACTGCAGTAGCATAGCTGTCTCATGCCCATTGATTCCTGTTTTGTTTGCTTGTACCTTTCCTGACATCAGGGTACCCCTCAACTGTGACTGTCCCCAAAGATGAAGATCTTCATGTTCTTTTTTTTTTCTATTTTTAAATTTATTTTTTTAATCTTCGCCTGAGGATATGTTTATTGATTTTAGAGACAGGGGAAGGAGGTAAGAGAGAGACAGACATCAATCGATTGCCTCCCATACACACCCCGACCAAGAATCAAAGACTGCAACCAACTGAGCCATCAGCCAGGGCACGCTCCTTTCTTTTAATACCAAAATTTTACTCTCTCCTTTTTAAAGAGCACATGTAGCCTCTGATAGAGCTGGTGTATGGTAACACTTCTCCAATGTGTGCAATTATCTGACATAGTTTTTAAATCTTAAAAATGTCCTTGAGTTTAGAATTGTACTTACTGAGTTAGCTTGAAATATGAGGTACCTATACTTGGCAGTTCTGATTAGATTTAATACTATTTACAAACAACAGGGTCAGGATCTAACCCTTGTTTCATTGCAATGTACACACAGCCTAGACTTCACAGCATCTGTCCAAGCACATCCAATTTTCCTAACTCTGTTGTAGAATCTTTGGTGATAATTTTGGGTGTTGATTCAGGATCACCATCAATTATTAGTTATAAGTCCAGAGCTTCCCTGTTCACTCTCCACCAACAACCCTATAATATATTTATATCTGTCATTAGTAGATATTCATTGAATGTATGATACCATCAACTGAGGGCTCACCGTTATTTTATGCACCAGTAAAAAGTCACTGCCAACTAATTATAACATGTGATCATTGTAAAACACATCCCAATACCAGAGATGTTAATATGTAGGGAAACTATGTATCAGAATCAATGAAATACATTTATGGCAAATGAATAACATTCTTCTGGGAAGATCTGTTCCCATCACTCATTTGACATAGCAATCTCCAGTTTCCTCTAACTTAACATTATCAGGAAGAGGAGAAATAAGGGGGGCTTCTTTGAGTACCTTCTAATCTGTAACTTGAAGTCTACAGGCATCTCCTTCAAGCTCTGCCTTGTACTTTCATTGGCCAAGATGGCAGGAAGAGAATACAAGCCATGTTTTGTAAGCTTGACATAAGTTACTCTTCACACAACTCATGTCCTGTCCTCCACTGTCTCATTTAGGTTTTCAGCTGCTACTAAAGATAATGAGTACAAGCGTTCACTGACCAAGACTCCAGCCAGAAAGTCTCCACATGTGACCATATCTGGGGATACCCCGAAAGGCCAGGCTCTGCTTGAGACAAACAAGTTAAAGACCATAAAGAGGGATTCTGCTCCAGGTAAAAAAAGAAACAAAACAAAACAAAACTGTTGGTTCATCTTTAAGTCCTGTAACTTCCTGAAATTAAGTATATCTGCTTCCTTGACGTCTCTCCATATTTGCAAAACCTAGAGCAAACATTTCACTATAGCGTATTTTTCATTTTATCCTGGTGAGAGAAATGCCAGAAATACAAAGAAAAAACTAGCAGCTGCCTGAGGACTCCTTCCTTCCTGTCCAAGAGGATTGCTAAGATGGTGACTCTCCCTAGGGAACATTCAGCCTCTTCTCAAACCCAGGGGTTAGAAGGAGGATCATAATGTTCATTACAGCCTCTGAATGGTCACGTGGGACTCTGAAACTAACATGAATAAATGCCACAATATTGACTAGTAGACTGAGTAAGCCAGCATAAGCCTTATAGATACTCTTGTGCACACTGTCCACTTCATCATCATCTACAATGACCAGGTGGTTTAAAAAAAAAAAAAATACTGTAAAACCATGTGAAAGTTTAGAAGAGTATCACCAACAGGTTGAGGCCTGTATTACAAATGAGTATGTCAAGGTTCTCCTGAGAATCTTATTGAACATGTCAGTCAAGAGCCTTGATTATGCAGAAAGGATTGCCAGATTCCTTGAGAACTAGAGGAATCCAGCAGAACTTCAGACTGGATCGTTGTTAGTAGTAATCAGTGAGGAGAGTCTGAGGATTTCCTCATGCCATAAAGACCTAAATTAAAGATTGAATAGTGACGTTGACAACTAAATTTCAAGAGAAAGGCCAGAGGTGGAAATAGTACATTTATATGATTCCCTGTGATTCTTCCTCTAAATGACCTCTCATTCCCACCCTAATCCTTATTCGTATCTATATACCAGGTAGCAAATGTACCATGGAACATTCTAAGTCATTCTGTAGTATGGGAGAAAGGGACTTGGGCAGTGCTAAAAAATGGTGGGTGGACTTGCCTAAGAAATGACACTATCGTTTTACAGAGAGCACTATGCCCTCTGAGCTCACGGAGCACCTACCTTATAATGAGAAGGGACTCGCAAATGCTCTCAGATAAAGACATGAGGCAGAAACTTAATATTTACCATATTCTGAGCTTTCTCCTCTAAGTAATTCAGGGCTGTGCCCAGTTGAGATTAGATATTTTATTCCCCAGTTATCAAATATGAATTTTATAAAAATGAAATCAAACTGTAGGATTTTTCTTCCCTGTGACTTGCTCCATTCACTCAGCATTAATGTTTCAAGAATAATCCATATTTCCCAAGCCAGTGTGGTTCAGTTGGGTGTCGTCCTCCCAAATGCAAGCCAGAAGTCACAGGGCACCAAATCTGGGCTATAAGGATCTGAGTCACCTGAGTGATTTGATATTTCACTAAAGCAAAAGGTCACTGGTTCAATTCCTGGTCGGGGCATGTATGGAGGGCAATGATTGATGTTTCTCTCTTGCATTGATGTTTCTCTCCCTCCTTTCCCCCTCTCTCTAAAATCAAAAATAAAATTAAAAAAATAAAAGAATTATCCATATTGATAAATGAGCAAAAGTTCATTCATCTTCACTGTTTTTCAATGGTATGGATATACAAGGTCTGTCCAGAAGGTATCCAGCCATGTAATATGGAAAATAGAGACATTTATTGAAGAAGATACAAGGAACATCGTCCATAGATACTTATGGGACGATGTTCCATAGACAATGACACCTCAGCCCTCTTGAGAGTAGGCACCTTGGGACCTCACACAGTTTTCCCAGTCGCCATCAGCTCCCCCATCGCGTTTTTCTGAATCTAATCAACAGTCTGAAACTCTTCCCTTTCAAAGGTGATTTTAGTTTTGGGAAAAGCCAGAAGTCACAGGGCACCAAATCTGGGCTATAAGGATCTGAGTCACCTGAGTGATTTGATATTTCAATAAAAAACTCTGCACGAGACATGATGCTTGAACAGGCACATAGTTGTGATGAAGCTGCCAATCACCGGTTGCCCATAGCTGTGGCCTTCTGAGTCATCCAAATAGTTTCCATGGAGGAATGTTCAAGCTTAATGTAAAATCTGATGCAGATTCATTGCTCTACTTGCTCAGTCATTTTGCATGCGAGGGCCACACAGTACACATGCTCACTCAACGATGTCTACAGCCACCTCTGACTAGTACAGTGAAGTTGTCATTATTTATGCATGCACATTCTAGTCCACTCTACATGATTGCCACGTTACATCATTGTCTCGCAAACTATTCTTGTTATATTAACAATGGTTAGACTTTTTCCGGGCAGACCTTGTATTTCAGTTCATGTATTTTACTGCTGATAGATGTGTGGTTATTTCCAACTTTTGTTATTATATATAGCACAGCTATGACCATTCTTGAATATGTCTCCTGTACATGTGCAAGAATTTCTCTAGACCTAGGGATAGGGCTGCTGGTTAGAAGAATATGCAATTTACTGTACTGATTGAATTGTACCAATTTATATTCTCATCATCAGTCTGTGGCAGCTGCATTGTTCCCCTTCCAGCATTTTATATTGACATAATGGAATAGCTGATGCACAGGGGTTTTGTGTTTTCTGTTTTAACTAGGTGGTTCTAGATTCTCATTCACATATCTCAGTAAGTGCTAACATTTGACAATAGTCTGAATGCAACCTATGAGCAGAAAGGATTATAAAACGTGTGCCAAATATATGGTGGCCAACTGGAGCAAAAATTTTGCTTACTAAATTATACCATCCTGGTATATTTTTAATTTTTATGGTATAAAAATTCACATTGTTAAGTAACAGTTTTTATTTATGATAAACAGAACAATTAATCTTCTCATCTATATATGATTAGGTTTCTTGCAGGCTTTATATCTGCGTTAATGAAAATGCTACTATTAATGATACATAATTTTAAGAAAGGTAAATAATATCAGGTAAACAGCCTGAAAAATTACCCAGTTAATTCTTTTTTAGTTTTTTAAAGGTTTTATTTTCAGAGAGAAGGGAAGAGAAGGGAGGAAGAGGGAGAGAAACATCAATCCATTGCCTTTTGTACATGCCCCAACCAGAGATGGAAACCTCATCCCAGGCATGTGCCCTGACTGAGAATTGAACCAGCGACCTTTCACTTTGGAGAACGATGCCCAACCAGCTGAGCCACACCATTCAGTGCTACCCAGTTAATTATTTAAATAGGATCCTAAACTCCCAGCTGACCCTAGGAAATGTCAAAATGTTTATAGACTATTTGGGGAGCAGCTAGCAGGGGAATCAAATTTCAGTGGTTAATGTTCCTCAGTTATTCTTTGCTCCTCCTTTTTACCCTCCATCTGTTGCAGATTGTTTATATAGATTAATATTTTTCAAGATTGATGTGATACTTTAATTAAAAAACTGTAACTGGTCTCTTTTTTTTCCTCTAACTACACCCTTGGGTTTTGTGTGTTGGCTTTTTTAGTTTTTACCCCATTCAAGTTGTCAGCTGGTGCAGCACAGACTCCAGTTTCCAACAGGAAACCAGTATTTGATCTCAAAGCAAGTTTGTCTCGTCCCCTCAACTATGAGCCACACAAAGGTATGTGGGGATGTTTTGAGGTACAAGACATGCAAAGACTTAAGATTAACCAATTTCACATCTGAGGGTGAGATTCAGGTGGAGTGCTACCTGACCACCTAAAATTCCTGCTCTGCCCCCCATGATTTTAAAAAATACCCATTAAACAAGTATTAAATAATTGATTCAGTTAGTATTTTTGTTAATCAAAGACATAATTTCTAATCAGTATTACTACAAAGAATTAGTAAAATTTCAGCCAAAATCAAGAAACTTAGAAGTGACCCTATGGGTAAATGAATGTTTTCTTGACAACTTTCAAAGGATCCCAGGCTGGCTGGAAACTACTGGTCCAACCACCTGCAATATTTATTGACCAGATGTCATTCTTGGGCATGTATCATTCTTACATCTGTTTAAAATAGCAATAATGAATGTGATCTATTTTCAGTGCTTTTGGAATTACTTTAACACAAAACAAAAACTTCCTGCAATAATCATTTATCTTTAAATTACTAAAGTCAATGAAAGAAATACAATGAAAACATAGATCTTATTTAGCTACCAGAGTCAGCTCATCTGTGGTGAGGAAGGGAGGGAGGGAGGGAGGGAGGGGAAAGGAAAGGAAAGAGGGAAAGGAAAAGAAAAAAAAAAGATCTACTTCTCCACATACCCCATTTTTTCTCCCCAGGTTTTCCCATCTGTGGCAATAGTACCTCTCAATGCTGAGTCGTATACTGAGTTGTCAGGGCAGAAACCTAGGAATTCCCTTTGGCTCCTCACCTTCTCTCAGACACCATATTTACCCATCAGCTAGTCCTTTTACCTCTACCTTCGAAAAAGATCTTATATCTTTTTGGGGAGCAGCTACCAGGGGAAACAAATCTCAGTGGTAAATGTTCCTCAGTTATTCTTTCCTCCTCCCTTTTTACCTTACATCTGTTGCAGATTGTTTGTATCGATTATATTTTTAAAGATTGGTAAGTGATACTTTAATAAAAAAACTGTAACAGGTCTTTTTTTTTCACTGCTTTTCACCCTCCACTGTGATTCCCTTTGGTCCATAGATCATCTTCTCTTCAACGGGCTTCTAGAATAGGTCTTTGCCCCACTACAACCTTAGAAACCAATAGAGCACACCACTGCCTTGCTTAGAACCTTCTGAGGTTTCCTATCTCCCAGCCTCAGTCATCGCCTCCTCCCTTCCCTAACTTTGCACCAATCACACTGGCGTGTCAGCTCCTCATACACTGAGCTCATTGCAACCTCCAGGCCTTTGAACTCGTTATCTAGGAATCATGTATCCACAGACCTTTGCACAGCTTGCTCCCTCATTTTAATGGGACATCCCCTCAGCTGTGACCAACTGAGGCCTTTACTCCCGCCTCCCAGTCTTTACTCCTTAGCCTGTTCTGCATTTCTTCACAGTACATGGCACCACCTGATGTTGTTACTTGACTATCATCTGCTTCTACCATTGGCACACTAGTCTAAGGGAGCAAGGATCTTGACTACTTGGTCCACTGCTTATGTCCCCAGCACCTACAACAGTCCCTGGCACATACCAGGTACTCAAGAAGTGTTTGCTGTGGGAATGACTATGACCACCACTAAGTAGTACTTTAGCAGCTATTGATTAAACAATAATGAAGGGTGTGAAAGTCATTTCTATAAAATGGGAAACACTGCAAATGATAATCACTGGTTCTCAGACATAGGTCATAAACTATGCAAATACAGCAATACATAAATATCTGGAAATTTGGTCCCAGTTCTAAAGCAAACAAAATATTCCCACTTGTTCCATTTTAAATACAATTTAATGTGTAACAGTAATAATAGACTGCACAGGTGAAATAACACTTTAACATTAAACGTGATACTACGCAACCTTGGGACAAACTACTTGGTTGTGGTGGCTTCTTTTAAAATGCTACATAATGGGAGTTGGTTTTTTGTTTGTTTTTGGTATTAAGGTTTACTCTGACTTTCCAAGGATTAAAAAATAGACCACAGCCCAGATCAGCATGGCTCAGTTGGTTGAGTGTCATCCCGCAAAGCAAACCAGGGTTGCTGGTTCAATTCCTGGTTGGGGCACATGCCCGGGTTGCAGGCCCATTCCCTCCCTGGTTGGGGCACATGCAAGAGGCAACCAATTCATTTTTCTCTCTCACATTAATGTTTCTCTTTCTCTCTTTCTCCCTCTCTTCCCTCTCTCTAAAAATAAGTAAATAAAATTTAAAAAAATATATATAGAACACATTATTTACAGAAAAAATGCAATTTATATCCATGGAATATGAAATTGAAATCAATTAAAAACTTATACTGGCAAATGTCTATTAAACCAAAGTATAAATGTTGACAGCAAGCAAGTTGCCACAGATGAATAAAACTAGGAATATAAATACAAGAAACTTCATTGATCTGTCTTTGTATCTGTTCTAAACTAGGAAAACTTAAACCATGGGGACAGTCTAAGGAAAATAAATCTTTGAATGAAAATCTAAACAGAGTTAGCTTCCATAAGAAAACTTACAAACAACCTCGTCTCCAAACCAGGTAAGTATATAATTATCCAGTTCTATAATTCTTTTAATTTTGAAAGACTATATAAAAGCAGACCCTCTGAGGGACAGGGTTTCAGTAGGTGGTGGTCAAGAAGAGATTAGCAGAATCACACATAGAACTTTCTCAAAGTACATATGCCTCACCCCACCATAATGGATTCTCATTTAGTCCGTTCGAGGTGGGGCCCAAGCAACTGCATTGTTTTCAATGCACTATAAGTGATTCACAAGAGCACCCAGATTCAGAGCACGGCTCTTACATGACCTATCTGCACAAACAATGCACCTGGACATCCCTCCAGACCCCAGTCCAAGTGCCCAGGGGACCTAGGTATGCAGATAAATGTAAATCCATCACTTCAAGAAAACCAGGCTTCCTAGGCTTCAAGACCCTACATAGGGGTAAACCCCAGATTTATCAATTAAAACAAACTTAAATCAGAGGCTTTCTAAGGACCAAGTTAAAGCCAGAGCTTAAACCCTGGCTGGTGTGGCTCAGTGAATAGAACACTGGCCTGCAAACCAAAAGGTTGCTGGTTTGATTCCCAATCAGGACACATGCCTGGGCTGCAAGCCAGGTCCCCAGTAGCGGGGCATGCAAGAGGCAACCACACATTGATGTTTCTCTCCCTCTCTTACCCCCTACCTTCTCCTCTATCTAAAAATAAATAAATCTTTTTTTTAAAAAAGCCAGAGCTTGAATTGATTCCCTGCATGCAACCCTCCTGATATAGAGTTACCTATCACGTGACTTGCCTGTATACTCCTGCCACCAAGACCTTTACTAACTATATTTGCTATTAAGATTATTAAGTTGATCCTGGGCTTTTTGTTTGTTTGTTTTCCCCCCAATCCCTTTCATAAAAACATAGTGGCTAAAGTCAGACCCCGGCTCCTAGTTCCTAAATCCAGAAGTAGAGATTTATCAATTAAAACAAAAACTACAGGGGTTGGATGCAAGCCCTGAGGTGCTTTCTGGTTTCAGTTCTGTGCTTGACTTTCGAATGCTGCATTAAGATAAAAAGGAAAATACCAATGTATAGCCCTCTAACACAGTAGTGATTTTCATCACAGACCACCAGATAGGCTGCAGTATCACTGTAAGTGTCTTTAAGTTTGGACATTAGTCTACCATGTGCTTCAAAGTGGTCTGTTGTGGAGTTTCCCTAGAGCCTAATTAACGTGCACCTGTACCTTTTAGGGAGGAGCAACGGAAGAAACATGAGCAAGAACGAAAGGAGAAGAAAGCAAAGGTTTTGGGAACTCGAAGGGGTCTCATCATGGCTGCAGATTAATAGGTTTAACATCCTGTAAATATTCCTTTATTCTGAACCTTTTTTTGTAAATATTATACTGTTCTTCCCACTTTAGTCGAAAGATCTTTTTCTTCACTTTGTTCATAAAGTAGCATGTGTTCTTCACATGCTACAATCTCTGAAAAGATGTCATTACCTTAAAACTCACAAATTCTTTGAAATGGTTTTAACGTAAGTCTCTGTACAAACTGTTTTCTAACAAGACCCATCCTATAGATTTTTTTTATTCCATCCTATAGATTCTTGACTTACATTTTTAGTGCCAAGTTCCCTCTGCTCGCTCTAATATTAACAGAATTGCAGCCCTCTTCTAGGCAAGAGAATTTAACGTAGAGTAGCTAGCTAGTTATACTGTAAGCTTTAGTAGAATCTGAACAGTAATAACTTGAATAGGATAAGCTTGACAACGTCACCTCTTCATCCTCTAGAGAATCTAATCATCTTAATGAAACTGTGGGCCATACGGGTTGGTTATGGCATCAGTATTTTACCCATGTGGTGGTTTGGGGTTTTTTTTTCCCCCCAAGCTTATGCACCTTTGTTTAGATCACTTCATGTAATTGCCATCTAGCTCAATATATTCTTAAAAAACAAAAACTCTATAGCTCATCCTAGCCATGCTTATTTAACAATAAACAGAGCCATATTGAAATTGGAGGATTGCTGCTTTAAGAATTACCGTGCTGTCAAACTTAAATCTTACTCAATTTATGGAAAGACTAGAGTTGCTTAGAATCATATCCATGTTTGTGGCACCTAAGTGGAGCTTCTGAGTTTTGTACTCCCTCAGATTTTCATAAATAAAATTTTTTCTCACAGTGGTAGATTCATTCTTTGTAAACATAATTGGCTTCCAAGATTTAGTTGGCCAGCTAAGATGAACAGGTTTGCTTGCACTCCTCATGCACCCTTTCCTGACCACCCACTCCCACCCCAAGAAGAAATGACCGTGTCCTTCTCTTGTACTTTCACATATATGAACCCACAGAATAGGACATACTCCTGAGTGCTTAATAAACTTAGATTTTCCTACCAAGAGGCAGAGCTCATATAAATCAAGAAACCGTCTATTTTTGGTCTATGCAATCTCTGTAATACTTAAAATGACTGGGGAGGTTTTGGGGTTGTTAGTCTAATACCTGCTTTAGTTTCTCTAGTGGTTATACTATGAATTAAGAACTGGTAAGGATCATGCATCTTTGGAAGACTAGTTCTCTTTACATTATGGACTACATGTTTGTGTTGCCCCAAAATTCACACGTTGAAACCCCAATTTCCAATATGATGGTATTTAGAGGTGAGATGGCCTTTGGGAGGCAACTAGGTCATGAGGGTAGAGCACTTATGATGGGATTAGTGTCTTTTAAGAAGGGAAGGTGACCCATGTGAGGATACAGCAAGAAGGCAGCTGTCTATAACCAAAGCAGCAGACACTCACCAGACATCAGATATGCAAGTAACTTGATCTTAGACTTCTCAGCACTCAGAACTGTGAGAGGCAAATGTATGTGTTTAAGCTACGTGGTTTACAGTAGTTTGTTATAGCAGCCCAAGCAGACTAAGACAGTAGGTATGTCTTTTCTCAGTGACTTGTTTATCTTAATATTTTTCAGCAGCCTCTGTTCCTCAAAAATGGATTAGTAAACAGAAGAAACCTTTAAGGAGCAGAGTGGTAGAAGGCCATCAACAGTCATCTCAGACTCCTTGTTTTGGAAACCATGCAGGAATTGTTTCTAATAAGAATCATTCTAACCAAAAACAACTATTTACATAGTATCTCTGCATCAGTGTAGTACTTGCATTCCCTTAGTAAAGGTAAAGCTTAAAACCTGGCTTCATACTGTGTTTCCCTCTATATGGTCCCTCTTAGGAGCTGCATTTATCTTTGTCTTAGGGAATATATACCAGCCACTGACTGGATGCCATTAAAGAGATGCTTTATTTTGTCTCTGTATGATCATAGAAACGACTACCCTAGTTTCGTAATACAAGACTACCACATTATCGCTGTTTAAAAAGTCTAGGGCTAAGCACTGGAGAATTTTCGTAGGCAAATTCTTCTGTGTGGGCTGGATCATTAAACACTCCAATAAAATCTATTTCCAGGAAGAATGGACCATCCACTTTATCAGCCAGGGTGAATCCGATAGAAGAGATCTAAATTTAAAATGAGAGAAATTGATCAAAATCGCATGCACTAAATGTACTGATGTTTGTTCCTCCAGTTTCCATTCTATGAGGGGATTACTATAGCTGGGTCTTTATACTATCAGCCCTTAACAAGTATAGCATAGTTCTCATATGCTGTAGCATGTTATAAGAGGAAGTACAGGGCTACTTTTCTTTCCACATTCACCTTCCTCTCTTCCTTTAATGTGGTATCACTGAAGACTAATAAAGACAACACATGTCTAATGGAGGTTCTTGAAGGTCTCCTGAACTCTTAATACTGTCCTCTTATTTTAAAGCTAAAATAAAATGTAGGCATGCTGAAAAGACCGTAATGAAATTCTTCAGATGGGTTTGGTTCAAAGGATAGGTCCGTGTCAACATCTGTACGGGTATTACAGGGGTGGCCTTGAGTAGGAATTTCCACCTTTCATTTGCCAGCCTTCAAAAATGGACTGAACTCATCCTCACAGGAATTCTGTTTCACCAAAGATAATATAGTTCTGAGTCAAAGTAGAGGAAAATGTTACCTTATCAAGAAGAAGCTGGTGCTGGGCATCCCGGATTCTTCCTTGATTAGAGAAGAAAAATTTGGAGAAAGGAATCTGAAGAAAGAAGAAACCATTTACTTCATAGCCAAAATATAAGTAACTGAGGCCTTTGTAACTGCAATGATAAGAGTAGTAGTTTAAGTTTAATTCTCAAATTATTTAATATATGCAGTTATGACAAATGGCTAGTCATTTGGATCACAAATAATATAACTAAGAAAAAGATTAAACAACCCAATAGAAAAACGGGATGGAGAGAAACAGACACTTATAAACTGTTAGTAGGAGTGCAAATTATTCCAACTCTTAGAGGGCAGCTGGCAGTTGTCGTAGGCAGGATTCCAAGACGGTCCCCAAGATTTCCAAAGTCTAGTGTGCACCTTCTTCAACTTATTCAAACACTAATCTCAGTGTTGCTATGAAGGAGCTGCAGAAGGTCCTAAATCAGTTGACTTTTATATAAGGAAGATTATTTTCTATAGCCCTGACTTAATCACTTGAACCCGTAAAAGGGACTGACTGGTGAAAGAGTAGAAGCACGAAAGGGATCCAATGTAGGGGGAGGGGTGCCGGATTCTCAACTGACGGCTTTGAAGATTGATGGAGCTAAGTGGCAAGGAATGCAGGCAGCTTCTAGGAGCTGAGAGTGGCTCCCCAACTGACAGCCAGTGAAGAAACAGGACAACAGCCCTTCAATCACAGGAACTGAGTTTAGCTAATAACAGGAATGAGCCTGGAAGATTCTTCCCCAGAGCCTCCAGAAAGGAATATACCCCAGCTAACACCCTGATTACAACCTTATAGGGCCCTGAGCATTGAGCCCAGATCTACTGTGTCCCAACTTATGACCTACAGAACTATGAGCTAACAAATATGTTTTTGAAGTTGCTAAGTTTATGGTAAGTTTTTATGTAGCAATAGAAAACAGCACTAACAAAATCTGAAATGCCATAACTTTGACCTACCAATTTCACATTTAGGAATTTATATTTCAGATAAACTCTGACAAATACATCACGATATAGCTTTTTCTAATAGCACAACAAAAAGACCTCCACAATATATTAGTCCAAAAGTAAGATATAAGAAGTAAAACAGGAACAGAGGGATAAGTTTTACTGAACAAATGGACCCGTGGCGGGGGTGGGGGGGGGTGCCCAGATGCTATTACCGAAATGACCCCCCGCTTCCCTGAGACCCCTCGGTTGTGCGTCCTTCACCCGCCGCCCTTGGAATTATGGCTTTGAATGGCAGAGTTTGGTGAAAAGGAAAAGGAACTATTTATTCAAAAGTTATACATGTTTGATTAATGGCTAAATGTCACCCTTAAACCTCAGAATTCCTTCAAAACAACCACCAGCACACACACCGTCCTGCCTTCCCCCCTTTGCCCTGTCAGGCCAGTCAGGGGTACCGTCCTTCAGAAGAAGAAGAACAGAAGTCCGGGGCTCTGCTAGGCAGGCCTCTCGCGGGTCTCAGCACCATCTACTGCGTCGCCGCGATCTCCAGCTCTTAATCCATAACCATGTGGCACCTTCTCATGGCCCACTAGCAAGAGTCCTTTCTCCCCTCCTCCTTCCCGCGTGGTCTTCACACTGTTCCCCAGAGTCTGTGTCCCTTTCTCTGCTGTAAGCCCCTGCCTCTCCTCTCTCCTCCTTACATTCTTTATTAAGTCTATTTTAACCTTCCTGATTAGCTTTCATGATAGGCAAAATAACCCTTTTTGCAAATGAGGAATGAAGCTACCCTGTTATTGACATGCAAAATGACTCTCAATGGCCCTGCTCAAGGCTTCCATCCTCCATGGCGGCCCGCCCTGGGGTGGGGAGAATATATTTTTCTTGGACACCCCAATCTCTGGACCCCGTTACAAATACCCTTTGGCGGGGCCCTGGCTGTGCCCCGTTACATAAGCACTAGCCAGAGCATGTGCATGAGACTAACATACAGAAATGTATGTTTTTCTGATTCATGAAAAAGTAAGATATAGAAAAGATTCCAGTTTTTTTCTTAAATGCCTCAAAAAACTAATAAAATATTTACTATAGCAATTGTTAACAACCCAAGTGACTATCAATACAGGATTCATTCAATCAACAATAGGATATCTGCCCTGGCCCTGACCTGTGTGGCTCAGTTTGTTGAATGTCGTCCCACATACTAAAAGGTGGCTGGTTCAATTTCCAGGCAGGGCACATGCCTGGGTTACAGGTTCAGTCCCCAGTCAAGGTGCATACGGAAGGTAACTAATTGATGTTTCCTTTCTTCTCATTCCCCCTCCTTTCACCTTTAAAAAAAAACGTTTAATTTTTTTTAAATCAAATATGAAAAAACAAAACAATGGGATATCCACATAACAA